AAAGAAAGAAAGAAAGAAAGAAAGAAAGAAAGAAAGAAAGAAAGAAAGAAAGAAAGAAAGAAAACTGCGGGGTATAACAGCACACACTGAGAATGCTTGTATTCTGATACATTCAACAGCAGAACTGACCTACAAGAATGCAAACAGTGTTTTCCCATTTATATTAAGCCACAGAGCAGAGAAAAGTACAGGTGGCTTAAGGGACATCTCTTGGGGTGATACTTGCAGAGGGCACAGAGCAGCTTTTTGGGTAATGAAAACACTCTGAATCATGCTTTGCACACTTGTTTCAGGGCAGCTGATGCTGAACGTTTCATTAGGGTCTCTGACAGGGAGACAGATAGCGTCCCTACTACATGCTTCTTTCCCTGTCTGCCCACAGGAAACTTGTGCTGGAGTCACCAACTCAAGTACTTGTGAGGGCAAGTAGTACCAGAATGGACTTTATTTCTGAAGGAACTCCAAACCACGCTGAACCCAGGAAGTGGGCAGGAAACACCCTCGAGGGTTAGTGGGGTTCTCGCTGGAAAAGCACACGCCCCTCCCTCTGTTGTGCTGTCTCCAACTTGTCTTCAGTGAAGCCCAAGGGTGGATTTTAATTGAGAAAGTCAAAGGACAGTTTTCTTTAAAAATTACTTCCTTTCTCGAATTATGTCCATCACTGATTTTACATTTGAATGTCCTAAGCCTCCTGCATTAGAAATTTATGTGTGTTGAAGCTGGAGAGCCAGCTCAGTGGTTAAGAGCAGATACAGAGATCCTAATTTTGTTTTCCAGCACCCATGTTGGTGGCTTAGAACTGCCTAAAACTCAGGCTCCAGGGAATCCAGTGCCTCTGCTGGCCTCTGTGGACACACACACACACACTTGAAAATTAAATATTTTTAAAAGAAATTTGTTTCCATGTATCAGTTAACACCTGTCCAGAGTTTAAATGTATCATTTAAAAAAGTTTCAGAGCAGAATGGTGGATCAATGGAATCAAATAGAAGACGCAGAAATAAACCCACACACCTATGGATACTTGATTTTTACAAGGAAACCAAAAAATACAATGGAAAAAAGATAGCATATTTACTAAATGGTGTTGGTCTAACTGGATGTATACATGTAGAAAAATGCTAATAGATCCATATTATCACCCTGCACAAAACTAAAGCCCAAGTGGATCAAAGACCTCAATATAAAACCAAACACACTAAACCAGTTAAAAGAAAAAGTGGGAAGGAGCCTTGAACCCATTGGCACAGGAGACAACTTCCTGAACAGAACACCAACAGCACAGGCTCTAAGAGAAACAATCAATAAATGGGACCTTATGAAACTAAAAAGCTTCTGTAAAGCAAAGGACACTGTCGTCAGAACAAAATGACAGCCTACAGATTGGGAAAGGATCTTCACCAACCCTATATCTGACAGAAGGCTAATATCCAGAATGTATAAAGAACTGAAGAAGTTAAACACCAACAAACCAAGTAATCCAAATAAAAATGGGGTACAGACCTAAACAGAGAATTCTCAATAGAGGAATATTGAATGGCAGAGAAACACTTAAAGAAATGCTCAATGTCCTTAGTCATCAGGGAGATGCAAATCAAAATGACCCTGAGATTTCACCTTCTACCCATAAGAATGGCTAAGATCAAAACTCAAGTGACAACACATGCTGGAGATGATGTGGAGAAAGGAGAACCCTCCTGCATTGCTGGTGTGAATGTAAACTTGCATAACCACTTTGGAAATCCGTCTAGTGCTTTCTCAGAAAACTAGGAATAGTGCTATCTCAAGATCCAGCTATACTACTCCTAGGCTTATATCCAAAACATGCTCAAGTACACAACAAGGACATTTGCTCAACCATGTTTTTAGCAGCTTTATTCAAAATAGCCAGAATCTGGAACCAACCCAGATGTCCCTCAGTGGAGGAATGGATACAGAAATTGTGGTACTTTTACACAATGGAATACTACCCACCTATTAAAAACAAGGAAATCATGAAATTTGCAGGCAAATGGTGGGAACTAGAAAAGAGCATCTTGAGTGAGGTAACCCAGAAACAGAAAGACACACATGGTATATACTCACTCATAAATATAATATAGGATAAACATACTAAAATCTATACTCCTAAAGAAGCTAAACAATAAGGAAGACCCTAGGGAAGATATTCAATCCTCATTCAGAAGGACAAACACCATAGACATCACAAGGAGAAGAAGACAGGGAACAGGACAGAAACCTATCACAGAGGGCCTCTGAAAGAACCTACCCAGCAGGGTATTAAAGCAGATGCTGAGACTCATAGCCAAACTTTGGGCAGAGTGCAGGGAATCTTAGGAAGTAAAGGGAAGGTAGAAAGACCTGAAGGGGACAGGAGCTCCAAAAGGAGACCAACAAAGCCAAAAAAACCTGAGCCCTGGGGGCCCTGAAGAGAATGATACCCCAACCAAGGACAATGCATGGAGAGGAACTAAAACCACAGTTCAGATGTAGCCAATGGACTCAGTCTACAAGAGGGGCCCCTAGTCAGGGGAGCAGGTGCCTTTTTGTCATGAACTCAGTGACTGCCTCTCTGATCACCTCCCCATGGAGGTTGCAGCCTTGCTAGGACACAGAAGCAGATGATACAGCCAGTCCTGATGAGACCTGATAGGCAAGGGTCAAACAGAAGGGGAGGAGGACCTCCCCTATCAGTAGACTAGGAAAAGGGCATAGGAGGAAAGAGGGAGAAAGAGTGGGGTTGGGAGGAGACAAGGGAGGGGGGCACAGCCAGGATACAAGTTGAATAAATTGTAATAAATGATAATAATAAAAAATATTTTAAAAAACAAAGAAAAAGTTTCAGAAAAAGGATTTTGTTAGACACAGCTTAGAGAATCTAGGATACATAAACACTTGGTAAGTTCTTGTCAGTCATGGCTCAGATAACATTGAATACCCTAGGCAAGGCACACTTATGCTACAGATGGCAACTCATAGCAATGGATTTCCTCATTCATACAGACTCCAAAGAACAGCAACAAACATCATGGCTATTGAAATTTACTATTTTCAAAATGGACACCGCATAACAGCTTTCATTCTTTTTACCCACCTGACTGGTCAATTGTTGACTTTCCTTCCAGTTTCAGGAACACCTCAGTCAGTGTTGTTATAGAAACACCATAGTTCTCGATTCCCAGATCTGGAAATTTCTCAAGATCCCTATAAAGATCTAATGAACATGTCTTAAAATGTGGTCACCAGGAAAATGCAAACTACTTTCACAGTCTATCTTATTCCAGTCAGAAAGATCATTAAACAAACAAACAAACAAACAAACAAACCCACAAATAACAAATGCTATCAGGATGTGGGGAAGTTGCAACTCCTATTCACTCTTGATGAGAGTATGAATTGGTTCAGGGACTGTGGAAATCAAAGTGAAGATTTCTCAAAAAACTAAAAGAAGAACTCACACAAACAAAACCAACCAACCAAACAAACAAAAAAACAAACAAAGCAGAGCTACCAAATGGCCCAGCTACACCACTACTGGGCATATACTCAAAGACTTTATATCCCATTAGAGATACCTGCACATCCATGCTCATTGACACTCTGTTCACAAGAAACAGAATAAACTTAGATACCCAACAACTGATGACTTAGTAATAAAAACATGGTGCATGCACACAATGGAATTCTTTCTCTTTAGCCATCAAGAAAAATATAATTATAATTTCAGGAAAGTAGGTGGAACTAGGGCTGGAGAGGTGGCTTAGACAGTAAAGGCATTTGCCTCCAAAGAAGGCAATTTTTTTTCTTCTTGGAAGCCATAAGGCAGAAAGGGAGAACGTTTCCACAAGTTGTCCTCTGGCCACACTCAAACTGTAGCATGCAGGCACCCCTCTTCAACACAGGTAAAATAAAAATGTGTGTGGGAGGGAGCCTTAGAGAAGCTTCTTTTGATAGTAGGTGGTGATTAATGCAGAGACGAACACATAATTTGTCAAAGTTCTGAGAATGAGTTTCTTTTACAAGCTCAGCCCTAAATCCAGGCTACCTCTGTCATACCCTCCAAGGCGTGTGCAGTCATATTTCACTGTGCTGGCTGTCAGTACACATCCTTACAACTTTCTCATATGCTCACTGACAGATTTTGAAGGTTTTAATAAACTCATTTTTTATTGCTATTTATTTGCTTTGTTCTTTCAATTTTTTTCTTACACATAGTAAGCTGTCCTTCATCCTTCATTGTTTGGTAAGATACATACATGACTCAGTTTTCAAAATGAAAGCAGCAATGAGTCCATTTAGCCAGTGTAAGCAACACACTGCTACTGTGAACCTGCATTTAGCACCACCGTTGTGAAAAGCTCAGGAAACACAAAAAGATTCTTGTATTTGAAACAATAACCAAAGGATTTGACACGTCATCACTTCTAAGAGGATAGGGTTGGAGGCAGAAGTCACCTTTACAGCAGTGACTTTTGTGAAGTAACTTCTCTCTCTGTCTCTGTTTTATTATGAGAATTCTGGGTGATGCTTCATTTCAGACTTCTAGTATATACTTCGTACATACCAACTTGATGCCACGTGTCACTCATTATTGTAGATTTTATTTTATAGCCATGGATAATGAATTACCTGGAAATTTATTTGTTGTTTCTAGGGGTAATATGTAGTTCAGTTTTCCTTCACTTTCTGCTGACAATTTGGAGTCAGGGATGTGCTGTTTGACAAGTGATGTTATTCTCTCATGCACACATGTTTCATTCAGCTGCAAGCTGTCATTCAAAAATTGGAATATGTTGTTTAAAATAGTCTCCAACGTCCAAAAATAACCAGAAAAGAGCATTTATGGCTGCAATCTTAAAAACAAGTCATGCATACTTGATGTAAAGAGGTAGGTCAGTTAATGCAAGTCCACGAAACTAAGTAGAATTTTAGTTAAGAGAAAGTATTACTATTCTAGGTTAATGAAAATAATGATGTTAAATACAATCCTGTTGGGTTCGAGAAAGTTGTAGCACTGTAGAGTAATCAAATAGTATAGATACTTATCTATATCTAGACTAGATTTTCTCCTATTTCCAGGCATTTTATATCCCAATCTTGCCCACACTTTCACCCTTTACCTCTTCCTACACACACACACACACACACACACACACACACACACACGCATGCGCGAATTTTCTTTTAAAATATATTTTTATTAATTCTTTGAAAATTTCAGACCTGTATACAATATCCAGGATCCCTGTGTCTCCCCTCTTTCTCTCTTTCAGTGATTTTGCTCAGTACCACCTTTTTCTCCAGCCCAGTTCTCCGGTACCCCCATCCTCCCCTAGAAGGCCTACCTTAAGTGATAACCAATCCCCCATTTCTTCTTCAGAAACAAGGACGAGCCTGCACACTTCAGCTTTCCCTTGGAGATGAACACTTTCCTGTCTGAAGAGGAAGAAGCAAAAAAAGGGGGGGGCGGATATCTTTTATTATAGAAACATGTGAGATATAAACTGTTTAGACAACTTTAAAAGCACGATGCAATTGTGGATCAAAATCACTATAACGTTTGATAATGATGTAGTTCAGTTATGTGTCATACACCTCAACAGAATCAATTACATGAGCCATTTCTGACATAGATAAACGCTGACATGCTCTTTAGCTGGTTGTGCACAGATCTTTCAAGTTGACTTATTCAATTATGAAATTCAACTGAATTCCATTTATCTTAAAGTTAGTGACTTTCCTAAGAAGGGCATGCTTTATATCATCACAATGATGTCGGACAGAAAGGGTTATAGACACCTCAAACTTTTGTCAGAAAGACATCCTGGTCCTGGTTAAATGGCACCCAGCAGCACAGAAATAGCAGCAAAGAAAATAATTTAAGATTTCAGATCTAAGTCCTCATCGGGATGCATAAAGAAAGCCACCAATTACCGGCCAGAATGTCAGCCTCGTCCATGAACTGAGTGCTGAAGAGGACCACACGGTCTGCTTTGCGTTCCTTCAGGAGATTCCACACCCGGTGCCTTGAAAAGGGATCCAGGCCAGCAGTGGGCTCGTCCAGTAGGAAAATCTAGAGGAGGGATCAAACAAAAGAGTCTTCACTAACCGTCCGGCAACACAGAGGCTGGGTATCCAGTGTGTGATGTCCTTTGTGAATGAGGAGGTAGTTTGTTTCCAAATTAAATTTATCTTTTTTATTTTAATTTTTTTTCTTCACAATTTATTCATTACATATGCCAATTGAAGCCTCCTCCCTCAACTTCCCCCAGTCCCACCCTCATTCTCTCTTCCCCAACCCCTTCCCCTAGTCCATTTAAAGGAGGGATTCTCCACTATTGCCATCTGCCCATAGCTTGTTAAGTCTCATCGGGACTGCCTGGATCCTCTTCCTCCAAGGCCTGGCAAGGGTGAGTGATCAGAGAGCAGTCAGCTTCACTCACAGATCCACATGGAGAGAGGGCCAAGATGGCGGCGCCGGGAGAACACCGTGTCTGAGAAGCGGGACAACACACTCCATGCAGCGACCAGGAGACTGAACTCTGGGCCCTAAAACTACAGCTATCGTGTTTCCCAGGTGAGGGGAGGCTCGGGTGGGAATCGGTCAGGTCCACTCTCGGCTGCCCAGCCAGAACCCAGAAGAGAACCCGGCTAACGCGAGCTTTGGGTCTCCGGGCTGGTGCTTCAAGCCTGAATGTCCCGATCACTTTCCCAGGCTGATGGGTGGGCACATGGGTGCCTGAGACTGAGAGTCCCAGTCACAAAAAACCCCACGGGGAAAGAAAGTTGCAAGACTGATCACGGGTCACCCAGTCTTTCCCTGGAAGGTCTCGCTGACCACGGGTACCCAGGACCGTCACAACTGAGCTCTCGCCGCCCGCGGAGAGCAGCTGCGCGCCCAGCTCAAAATCCCTACTCCCTCTTGGGAGGAGGCCGGAGGCAGCCAGCAGAATCTGCCACAGACCACATTGTCTGTACCCCAACCGGAGATCGGGGCTGAGAAAATCCAATCCTTTCGGGCACTCCCCCAAACGCCACCATAACCCTGCCGCGGCTGAGCAGAAGGATAAAGAGGCGCACAGCGGCTTCACAGTGCCAGAACTCCAGTGCTGCCGGCTGCTCCTAGCAAACAAACTACAGCTCAGGATCTGGGACTGTGGTCATTCTACATGTCCTGAGATTATCCTGGGTCCAGCGCAATAAGGTCTAGCAGCAAGTTCTATCACCGGCGACCCCCCCCCCGGACCCCTGGCAGAGAAATCCCGGCTCAGGATCGGACTGAGAAGCCCCAACCCCTTCTGGCACTCCCCTGAGAGCACCTCCATAAGCTTGCCCTAGTGGAGGGGAAGGTCAGAGGGGAAGGACAGAGAGGCAGCCTGCCAAGGACACAGCACCCTCTCTCCAGCTCACCCAGCAGCCCCTAGCAGAGAAACCCAAGCTCTGGATCTGAGGACACTCAACCCTACCTGGTACTTTCTCGGGATCAGCAAACATAGATTCTACCGCCAGGCTGCTTCTGGCAGAGAGATCTGGGCCCGGGATCTGGGATTGAGAACACCCAGCCTAACTCTTTCCCACGCCACCCAGGGACCAGTCAACATAACCCCTCCTGGCAGAGGGAAAGGACAAAGAGGCAGCACACAGGAAAGGTGGACATTCAGTCCTACGGCCAGAGTGTCACAGAGCTGACTGTTAGCCTACCCGTGCATTTTTCGCAGCAGGACCAAATCAGAGAGTAGTGAGCAAGGGGAACCCCTGTGCATTCCAACTGGTCCTGCAAGAGAATGAGTGAGCCTTCTAGGGCGAGTTTGCCCCAGACCCAGGGCCTCTCCACAGAAACAACCAGATGAGATCCCTGCCACCCACAACCCTAGTGTGGGCATCATAGGGATTCTTGGGATAGCGACCCCAACATTGAAGCCTCTGCCTTGCGGGTCCACCAGGGTAATCCAGGCAAACAATCCCTGGATCTCAGTCAGAACTGCGTAATAGTGGCTTGCAGGCCACTGCAATAGTAAGAGAATCCGCGCATGCATACTGCGCCTGCTAAAAGCGCACACGAATAGGGCCAGCATCACATTCCTTACTTAGGCAAAAATGAAACCACAGTGCACACTCCCAAACCAGTGAACCTCTCTCATCTTCCTGAAAAAACAGTCCAGAAAACAGAAAGAGAGGATCATAGCCCAAACTACAATCCCGAGGAACAAACAGTGAGGATTATAAATAACCAGATGGCTAGAGGCAGACGTAAGAACACTCCCCAAAAAAATCCGGACATAATGACCTCACCAGCAACCCCACAAAACAATGGACACTTCAATTCACTAGATATACAAGAAAACAACCTCAAAACTATGTTTCTCCAGCTATTAGAGGCCCATAAAGATGAAATGAACAAAGCCCTCAGAGAAATAGCCAAAGAAATTGAGACTAACCAAGAGGAAACAAATCATGCTCTCAGATAAATGACCACGAAAATTGAGGCAAAGAAAGAAGAAATGCACAAAGCTCTCAAAGAAATGTCCACACAAATGAAGGCAAATAAAGAAGAAATAAACAAAGCTCTCATAGAAATACAGGCAATTATACCCAAAGAAGTAGAGGCACAATTAGTGATACATAGAGAGGAAACGAACCAAAAAATAGAAGCTATCATTGAAAAGCAGGACTCCACATTCAAACAGATGAAGGAAATGGTGCAAGACATGAAAACAGAATTAGACTCAATAAAGAAAACACAAATAGAGAAAAACCAGGAGCTGGAGAACATAGAGAAAAGATCAGGAACTTCAAAGGTAAGCATTACCAACAGAATACAAGAGATGGAAGAAAGAATCTCAGAGCCGAAGATACATTTGTGGAAATTGACACGTCTCTCAAAGAAAAAATAAAATCAGAAAAGTTCCAAACACAAAACATCCAAGAAATCAAGGACACAATGATATGACAAAACCTAAGAATAATAGGAGTAGAAGAAAAAGAAGACATCAGGCTCAAAGGTCCGGAAAATATTTTCAAGAAAATTATAGAAGAAAACTTTCCCAACTTAAAGAAGGAGATGGCCATAAACATGCAAGAGGCCCACAGAACACCAAGTAGAATAGACCAGAAAAGAAATTCTTCACGTCACATCATAGTCAAAACACTGAACCTACAGAACAAAGAAAAAATTCTAAAAGCAGCAAGGGAAAAAGGCCAAGTAACAAATGAAGGTAGACCTATCAGAATCACACTAGATTTCTCAACAGAAACTATGAAAGCCAGAAGGGCCTGGACAGAAATCATACAGTCCTTAAGGGACCACAGATTCCAACCCAGACTACTATACCCAGCAAAACTTTCAATCAACATAGACGGAGAATTCAAGATATTCCAAGACAAAACCAAATTTAAACAATATCTACATAGTAAACCAGCTCTACAGAAGTTACTAGAAGGGAAACTCCAAACCAAAGAAAACAACTACATCTAAGGAAACAGAGGAAATAGATAACTACACAACAAAAAAACCAAAAGAATACAAGCAATGAAACTCAGTGACACCACCAACCCCACATCTAAAGTAAGTAACAATTGTTGGTCACTAGTTTCTATCAACATCAACGGACTCAACCCCCCAATAAAAAGACACAGACTAACAGAATGGTTGCGGAAACAGGATCCATCATTCTGTTGCATCCAAGAAACACACCTACGAAACAAAGATAAACACTACCTCAGAGTAAAGGGCTGGAAAAATGTCTTTCAAGCAAATGATTTCAGAAAACAAGTGGGAGTAGCCATCCTAATATCTAATAAAATAGACTTTCAACCCAAGTTAATCAAAAAAGATAAGGAGGGCCACTATATTCTCATCAAAGGAAAAATTCACCAAGAGGACATCACAATCTTGAATATCTATGCCCCAAATACAAGAGCACCTACATTCGTAAATGAAACAATATTAAAGCTTAAATCACACATTGATCCTAATATCCTAATAGTGGGAGACTTCAACACTCCACTTTCACCAAGGGACAGATCAACTAGACAGAAAACAAATAGGGAAATAAAAACACTTACAGAGCCCCTAAATCAAATGGACCTAATAGACGTCTACAGATCTTTTCACCCAAACTCAAAAGAGTACACCTTCTTTTCAGCACCACATGGAACCTTCTCCAAAATAGACCATATAGTTGGTCATAAAGCAAGCCTCAACAGATACAAAAAGATTGAAATAATCCCTTGTATTCTATCTGACCACCATGGACTAAAGCTGGACATCAACAACAACAGAAATAACAAACAGCCTACACGCACATGGAAACTGAACAACTTGTTACTCAATGACAGCTGGATCAAGGAAGAAATAAAGAAAGAAATTAAAGACTTCCTAGAATTAAATGAAAATGAAGGCACAACATACCCAAATTTATGGGACACATTGAAAGCAGTGCTCAGGGGAAAATTTATAGCACTAAGTGCCTACAAGAAGAAATCCGTAACATCACATACAAACAACTTAATGGCCCAACTGAAAACCCTAGAAAAAAAAGAAGCAGATATACCCAAGAGGAGCAGACGGCTGGAAATAATCAAACTAAGGGCTGAAATCAATCAATTAGAAGCAAATAAAACTATTCAAAGAATCAATGAAACAAAAAGCTGGTTCTTTGAGAAAATCAACAAGATAGACAAACCCTTAGCCAAACTAACTAAAAAGCAGAGAGAATCTATCCAAATCAACAAAATCAGAGATGAAAAAGGTGACATAACTACAGACACTGAGGAAATTCAAACAATCATTAGGTCATACTACAAAAGCCTATATGCCACAAAATTTGAAAACCTAAATGAAATGGACAATTTTCTTGATAGATTCCATCTTCCAACATTAAGTCAAGATCAGGTAGAAAGACTGAACAGCCCTATATCCCCCAAGGAAATTGAAGCAGTTATTCACAGTCTCCCCTCCAAAAAAAGCTCTGGGCCAGATGGTTTCAGCGGGGAATTCTACCATATCTTCAAAGAAGTGCTCACACCAATTCTCCTCAAAATATTCCACAAAATAGAAACAGAAGGTACATTACCAAACTCATTCTATGAAGCCACAGTCACCCTGATACCTAAACCACACAAAGACCCAACAAAAAAAGAGAACTTCAGACCTATCTCTCTTATGAACATTGACGCAAAAATACTCAATAAAATACTTGCAAACCGAATCCAAGAACACATCAAAGGTATCATCCACCACGACCAAGTAGGCTTCATCCCAGGCATGCAAGGGTGGTTCAACATACGGAAATCCATCAATGTAATCCACCACATAAGCAAACTGAAGGAGAAAAACCACATGATCATCTCCTTAGATGCTGAAAAAGCATTTGACAAAGTCCAACACCCATTCATGTTTAAAGTCTTGGAGAGACCAGGAATACAAGGCACATATCTAAACATAGTAAAGGCAATATACAGCAAGCCTATAGCCAACATCAAACTCAATGGAGAGAAACTTAAATCAACCCCACTGAAATCAGGGACAAGACAAGGCTGCCCACTCTCTTCATACCTCTTCAACATAGTACTTGAAGTCGTAGCCAGAGCAATAAGACAACTAAAGGAGATCAAGGGGATACAAATCGGAAAGGAAGAGGTCAAAGTGTCACTATTCACAGATGATATGATAGTATATATGAGTGACCCCAAAAATTCAACCAGAGAACTCCTCCAGCTGAGAAACACCTTCAGCAAAGTGGCAGGATACAAAATCAACTCAAAAAAATCAGAAGCCCTCCTGTATACCTAAGACAAAAGGGCCGAGAAAGAAAATAGGGAAACAACACCCTTCACAATAGCCACTAATAACATAAAGTACCTTGGGGTGACACTAACCAAGCAAATTAAAGACCTGTTTGAGAAAAACTTCAAGTCTCTGAAGAAAGAAATTAAAGAAGATCTCAGAAGATGGAAAGATCTCCCGTGCTCATGGATTGGTAGGATTAACATTGTGAAAATGGCCATCCTGCCAAAAGCAATCTACAGATTCAATGCAATTCCCATCAAAATACCAACTCAATTCTTTACAGACCTTGAAAAAAAAGATTCTCAGCTTCATATGGAGAAACAAAAATCCCAGAATCTCCAAAACAATCCTGTAGAACAACAGATCATCTGGTGGTATCTCCATCCCCGATCTCAAGTTGTACTACAGAGCAACAGCAATAAAAACTGCATGGTATTGGCATAAAAACAGAAAGGAGGATCAATGGAACCGCATAGAAGACCCAGAAATAAACCCACACACCTATGAATACTCGATTTTTGACAAAGAAGCCAAAACCATTCAATGGAAAAAAGACAGCATCTTCAACAAACGGTGCTGGTCCAACTGGATGTCCACATGCAGAAAAATGAAAATAGATCTATATTTATCACCCTGCACAAAACTAAAGTCCAAGTGGATCAAAGACCTCAACATAAAACCAGATACTCTAAATCTGTTAGAAGAAATAGTGGGGAACAGCCTAGAACTCATCGGCACAGGAGACAACTTCCTGAACAGAACACCAACAGCACAGGCTCTAAGAGCAACAATCAATAAATGGGACCTCATGAAACTGAAAAGCTTCTGTAAAGCAAAGGACACCGTCATCAAAACAAAACGACTGCCTACAGATTGGGAAAGAATCTTCACTCACCCTTTATCTGACAGAGGACTAATATCCAGTATATACAAAGAACTAAAGAAGCTGAAAAGCAGCAAACCAAGTAATCCACCTAAAAAATGGGGAACAGAGCTAAACAGAGAATTCTCGACAGAAGAATATCAAATGGCAGAGAAACACTTAAAGAAATGCTCATCCTCATTAGCCATCAGGGAAATGCAAATCAAAACGACCCTGAGATATCACCTTACACCCATCAGAATGGCCAAGATGAAAACCTCAAGGGACAACACGTACTGGAGAGGTTGTGGAGAAAGGGGAACCCTCCTCCACTGCTGGTGGGAATGTAAACTGGTACAACCACTCTGGAAATCTATCTGGCGCTTTCTAAGACACTTAGGAATAGTGCTTCCTCAAGACCCAGCTATACCACTGCTAGGTATATACCCAAAGTTTGCTCAAGTACACAAAAGGGATATTTGCTCAACCATGTTTATAGCAGCTTTATTTGTAATAGCCAGAATCTGGAAACAACCCAGATGTCCATCAACGGAGGAATGGGTACAGAAATTGTGGTATTTTTACACAATGGAATACTACTCAGCAATCAAAAAGGAGGAAATCATGAAATTTGCAGGCAAATGGTGGGAGCTAGAAAAGATCATCCTGAGTGAAATATCGCAGAAGGAGAAAGACAAACATGGTATATACTCACTTATATAAACCTATAAGATGTGATAAACATAATGAAATCTATACACCTAAAAAAGATAATCAAGAGAGTGGACATGGGGTAAGATGATCAATCCTCGTTTAGAAAGACAGATGGGATGTGCATTGAACGTATGACAGGAGTCTACTGAGTGCATTTGAAAGACTCTAACTAGCAGTGTTTTCAAAGCAAAGACTCATGACCAAACCTTTGGCAGAGTACAGGGAATCATAAGAAAGAAGGGGAGTTAGTCTGATAGGGAAAGCTCCACAAGGACCAAATATATCTGGGCACAGGGTCTTTTCTGAGACTGACATTTAACCTAGGACCATGTATGAATATAACCTAGAACCTCTGCTCAGATGTAGCCTGTGGTAGCTCAGTAACCAATTGGTTTCCCATAGTGAGGGGAACAAGGACTATTTCTAACAGGAACTCAATGACTGGCTCTTTGGCCTCCCCACCCCCCAAGGGAGGAGCAGTCCTGTTAGACCACAGAGGAGAGCTTTGCAGCCAGTCCTGAGGATACCTGATAAAACAGGATCAGATGAATGGGGAGGAGGTCCCCCCTATCAGTGGACTTGGCAAGGAGCACGGTGGAGATGAGGGAGGGAGGGAGGAAGGGACTGGGAGGGAATGAGGGATCGGGACACGGCTGGGATACAGAGTTAATAAAATGTAACTGATAAGAAAAAAATAAAATTCAAAAAAAAGAAAAAAGAGATCCACATGGAGACTGAACTGCCAATCAGCCACATCTGAGCAAAGGGTCTAGGTACTCTCCAGTCATGGTCCTCTGTTGGTGCATCAGTCTCTGCTCGAAGCCCTCAGCTCAGATCTTTTAGCTTTGTTGGCCTCCTCGTGGGGCTCCTGTCCTCTCAAAGTCCCTCTATTCCCACCCCTTTCTTCCCCCATAAGACTCCCTGTGCTCTGCCCAAAGTTTGGTTGTTAGTTTCAGCATATGCCTTGCTCCACAGTTGGGTAGACCCTTTCAGAGGACCCTCTATAGTAGGCTCTCATCCTGTTTCCTCTCTTCCACGGCTTCTGGTATCTATCCTGTTTACCATTCTGAATGAGATTTAAGCATCCTCCCTAGGCTCCTCCTTAGTGTTTAACTTCTTTAGGTCTGAGATGGCTATAAGCTAATATCCTCTTATACAATCTGGTCTGACTTACCTGAGGGTCTCCTAAAATGGCAATTGCAAAAGTCAGTTTTCTCTTTTGTCCACCACTTAGGTTTTGAACAATAATATCCTGAATATTTTTCATTTCCAGTTCCAGCAAAACTCTTTGTACCTGCACATACACAAAAAGGGATTCGACCATAACTAGAGTTTTTTGAAAACTCTTAACACTATACAATAAAGTGCAATGGTTTGCAATAAGCAGTAATATCTACTGTCAATGACTCCATGTTTACTTGATATATGACTTGGGGATAATTATCTACCACTTCATAATTCACTCTCATTTGAAAATGAAGAAAATCCCATTTCTTACATAAGGTTTGTTAAAACTAAAAGAGTATACTTAATAAGATAGGACACCACCACAAGTTGCACACAGGTGTTTGGAATTCCTACATTTTTGCAGCCAGTCTTCATACATTGATTTATGTATAGGTAATTCAATGCAACCAAAATCAAAATAAAGCAGATTAACCATTTTAATAGCACTTTGAATTTTTATGTAAATCTTAAAATATCATGTACCTCATTATCCACTTCATGTGCTTGAATCCCCTTTATCTTAGCAAATAGCCTAAGATTTTCTCTTACGGTGAGGAAGTCAAATTGTACGTTACACTGTGGACAAACTCCAGTGAGTTTGCTGATACTTTCCAGGTCAATCATTTCTGAGAGTTTATTATTATAGATAGTGACACAACCTATAAACAAGGGTTTCAAAAGGCATTATCAAGACAGCATGGCATCCTTAACACAATATAAATTTAAAAATTCTTACAATAAATTTACAAAATGAAATTAGATACGTGATTTTATCTTACTCCCATGATTTTTCTTTTCCAAGTTTCATTTTGATATTCTACCTTATCTGTATTTGAGAATATGATGAAGTCTACCTTTTTACCATCACTAAATGAAGTCAGTTTCTCCACTCTCTCAGCTATGTATGTCACTTGTTTTGAGTGATGGAATATGAGCCAATTACAGCCAAAGAGAACAGAAAAATGTTGTTTTACATTGGCATTGATTCTTTTTTGCTGCTCAAAGTCCTTATAACATCAGTCCTAGAAATTTGCAAGAGACAGATGAGAGAGAGAGAGAGAGAGAGAGAGAGAGAGAGAGGAAGAGACAAAGACAGAGATACACAGAGACAGAGCGAGACAGAGAAACGGAGAGAATAGCCTAGCTAAAATCTCTGACAAGCCATCCTAGGCCAGAAGCTATAGTCAAAGTAGTAAGACTGAGAGTCGACCCCTCTAATCATGATGAAGTAATATGTGATTGATATTTTAAAAGTTTCTGTGTTTTGAGGTTACTTTATACAGAAAGATGTGGTCAAGATGTGTGATCAATATCTATTGAAACTGTTAATTCTATAAAATTTTGAATATTCCAAAATACTAAAATTCTTTACATTTCAGTTAATGCCATATACATTTTGTAAAAGCATAATATAGATTATATGTGAGTTGAATTATCTGTTTGTGCTTAATGCTCACACTATCTTACAAAAGCACAGGTAATTCAGTTGCCAACACTGAGGAATCTCTCTTACCTTTGGTGGGAACACACAACCCACTTAGAATGTTCAGCAGTGTTGATTTCCCAGCTCCACTGTGACCAAGGATCGCAGTAATCTGGCTTTTATATATATCCAATGTCAGATCTGGGAGGGAAAGAGCATAGAGGTATAAAATCACAAATGTAGGTTTAGTCCAGGGCGCTTGTGTATTTACATGTGTCTAAAATTTATGAAGCATATATTTATTCATGCATTAAAACAAAATTAATACTCTATTTTCTTCACTTCACAAAAATTACTCAGCATGGCGATATTAGTTCAGTTAGGAACAAACGAGGGAAACCGTGAGATTCAACACTCGTTTACACAATCTAGAATTGCTTGCTGAGAGAAAAGTTAACTGATTAAAAGCCAAGATTTTTCTTAGTTACTTACCTTTCAAAGCTTCTGTGCGTTTAGACCTTTCTACATAGTCTTTTGTAAGACTTCTGATTCTGAGAAAGAGAGCAAGAGATACAGTTTTTAAAAGGCAATGGCTTTCTTTATTAATCTTCTATTTTTGGTTGGGAGCCTATCCTTTAGTGGCCGAGCCATCTCTCCAGCACTTTATTACCTAACTCCGAGTTTGGCTGAAATCTTTGGGTGAGTTTGGGTTGCAAGAATTTGAGGGAGAACATGTGAACTTCACTTAGCCATGGTTAGGGAGCAATGGTCCTAGACTAGCAAGCCTAGGCTCAGCTGGAGAAAAGGCTGCTTCATTGGTCTGGGCTAAGGCTTGGACACTGTTTTTCTGGTGAGCATTATTCCTGAGCTGAACCATATGTAGTGATGGGGAAGCTAGACAATGATATAGCATAAACAACTAACATGACAAGGCTGGGTAGGAAACATAGAAACTCATAAATATTAGAGACACCTTCTTCATGAAGACCAGACTCTTTTCAGGTCAGTCAGGCAGGAAAGAACAGCAAGAAGCAATAGCTATCATTGCACTTTAACCATTAAATAACTGACAAATGTAGTTATTTCTTACAGCTCTGTTTTCCTGCTCTGAAAGGGGAAATACCAACAATACTTACATTGCAGTTAGTCTGAAGACTAACAAAGTGTTTCATGTTGCATGTTGAGGAAGTGGAAAAGTATTGCATGCTATTCATTATGTAATGATGATTATGGCTACTAGGAGGAATGTAACCAACAATAATCTAAGTACTGTTAAATACTAAATTCTATATGTTGCAATTTAAAAAATCTTTGTAGCTCTGAAAATGTAGTCATGTTATCTCTTTGGTTCTACTCTATCAGGTAAATATACAGTCGTTTTTTACTGTCTTTTCTCACACAACTCAGGGTTCGTGTATGTTGGTTACAATAGAGTTCTCCCAGCTTCTCTTCACAGCGGATGGTAATTAACACAGAGACAACCAGGCATTGTGCAGACAGTGAGAGACTTTGGATCACTCAACTTTAAAGGAGATGTCTTTATCAAACCTCTCCCCTCAAGCAAGGCTCAGAGATCTATGAAGAAAAGGATACAGCAGGATTGTGAGAGCCAGACATGGCAAATGACTCCAAAGAAACAGCATCTTCTAGACCCCAGCTTTCATCCTGTGGCTACCTCTTTGGGGGTCTTTGGGGTCCCATATCAGATGTCTTGAATATCAGATATTTATGATTCATAACAGCAGCAAAACTGTAGTTATAAGGTAGCAACGAAATATTTGTTTGGTTGGGAGTCAGCACAACATGAGGAACTGTATTAAAGGGTTGAGCATCAGGAAGGTTGAGAACCACTGATCTAGACACAACAGGGCTGATGTACATATGAACTCACAGAAACTGTGACAGCATGTACAAGCCCTGCCCAGATTTGAACCAGACAAAATCCCAGAGTGGAGAGGCAGACATAGCTCCCATTCTAGCCAAGAAGCTGTTTGCAACTGATACCCACTGGGAAAGGGAAAGTAATTTTTCTCCCACGGAGTGCCAGCGGGTATCTCAAAAACACTCCAGGGCAAGCCCCAAGTCCAGGAGTAGCTGGCCAACACAAAAGGAATTCCATTGAGTTTTTTGTTGTTGTATTGTTTTGGTGGGTAGGTTAATTTTGTTTTGTTTTGGCACTTTTTTGTCTTACTGGTTTTTGTTGGTTTGATTTGCTTTTCTTTTGTGTGGTTGAAAAAGAGAAAGAACATGAAGCATAAAGTTGGGTAGGTAGAGAGTTTGGGAAGATCAGGAAAGAGTTGGGGAGGAAAAAGAATATAACCAAAATATATTTCAAGAAAATAAAAATGTTTTAAATAAAATGAAAATAAATGTCTTACTTCCATTTTAACCTTAACTCCTAATTCTTCCACATCGCTTTTTTAAAAATGATATAGCAAAGAGAAAATGAAAGAGACCAGTAGACAAAAAAACAAAAACAAAAACAAATTTAAAAAAAAAAAAAAAACATCATCTTGATATGACTTTCTCTGCCTGATGTTAAAAATTATCCAAACTCAGGACAAGAAGGATAACTACGGAACAGGTTAAAAGTTAGAAATTGAAAGTTAGGATTAGAAATGATAAAATACCAACACTTTCTCCCCAAGTTCAGGGAACATAGCAGAACAGGAGACAGAAAGAATGAAAAAGATGGAAGGTGCGGAGGATTGCTGTAAAATTCAATTTCTGGTCACGGCGTGGCCATCACTCAAGAACTCACAGGAGCTGTGGCTATCTGCACAAGGTCAAGCAAGTAAAAATTCCATCATGAATGAAGAATAGACTCGTGAAAGATACTACTACTTGAGGAACTGCTAGCAGTTGATGGCTGCCAAGAGACACAGTCATTTTCCTTTGGGGGTGTGACCACTGACAGGTTGCCCATTCTCTGGTGGGTAGCCTCACAGTATTCATGTTTTGCAAAAGGGCAACACGGATTGGACTGAATGGGAAGTAATTGTTATTTTTTTTTAATGAGGAGAATATTAATTTGGGAGGAGGACATTTTAGAGGGGAGCAGACAAAGTTGGAAGCAGCTAGTGTGGTGTGGATATGATTAAAATACACCATGCATATTTATAAAGTTCTCAAAGAAGAAATCAAAAACATTGTTTAAAGTAAGAGTTGCAAACATAAAGACCTTGAGGATTTCTTCCTTATTTGAAATAAATGCAACAGGCACACATGAAACAAGAATTTGATTGTAACCCAGATCACAGAGAGGCTTGGCTGAAAGGCCTGTTCTTCTCCAGGCCTTTCACTTCCCTCATCCCTTTTCCTTTGTCTTCTTTGTAGAAACAATGAATGCATAAGGGAAGAAATATTAAGATGAGTAAAGGGAAAATGAGTGCTATAACTAATAAGGTTGAGGAGTGAATCCCTGAAGCTAAGAAAAATAAAAGAGAATAGAATAGAAACAGTAAACGACAGGCAGAGAGGAGTTTGTATTGTGGCTGCTAGGATCTGAAGTCTAAAGTTTGTCACCAAAAGCAGCATTTTATAGTTAAAAAAAAAAAAAAAAAAAAGAACTCAGGACAGAAAATTGCAGGCAATGTAGATGAGGTTTAGGTGAGAGCCCCATGCAGGACTCAAAGGAGGGTCTACGCCGCGGTTTAACTGCGCGATGGAGCGGGCTTTAGGCTGAGGATAGCATTTCCCAGATCTGACCTTCACCCACGCTACCTGTGACCTCACCTGATAGCCTCCTTCCCGTGGAATTCTGTAGACACAGGTTCGAAAGAGTCGTCAGAAAACTCATAGTCCATTTCATTGTCCAGGGCCATCCGCTCAGGTCGATTTTGGGGTGACCAAAAGGAGGACTTCAGGAAAAACAAGGGCGAGTGCCGCCGTCCATAGTCACCTGTTTAACCAATGTAATTGCATATCGGATCAGCCACTGCTCTAAAGTCCCTCTTCACCTCTAAACATGGATCTAAACATCTCAACACAACGAACACTGTCTTAAGTGGGTCGGCATTGGAAATATAAAGGCGAAGAAGCACAAAGATATTTATATTAAATTAACTATGCGAGCAACAAAAATTTGAGGGAAAATGAAGAGAAATTATAATGTAAAATTAAAGGCTTTTCTAATTTCCAGCTATACAAAATGTTAGATCCAGATATATTTTGAGCTACTATATAGCCACTAAGAAATTACTAATGGTAAGAAATTACTAAGTACATATCCAAATATATTATGGGTTTAAACAGTCAATTAAATAATTACTAATTACTAACCGAACGTTTTTATGGAAAACAGAACATAACTGAGCAAAATTATTTGGTGGGCCATAAGAAAGAGTGGAAAGGGCACAACACATCAGTTCAAACACTATGAAGAGCAGGAAAACCTAATTACTATAATCAGAGTACGTTTAATTTCTCTATAAGTTCCTCCTGTCATGTCAACTGGTTTGGCACAATAAAAATAAAAATAAAAAGCTAGAGAGCTAGCTATGAGATAATTTCAATTAGCCTAATACTCATGCAAAAGGGATTCCTGAAAGAACAGAGAAAGTAAACAAAATTAAATAATTTCCCATTTTTCCCAGAATTGATGAAAATTACAGTCATAAATTTAAAAAGTTTAAGGAAATCCAAATATTAGCATGTGCATATAAATACACACACACAAAACAAATTCATTTCAAAATGAAGGCTTAAAGGCAATGAAAAGATAAAAGTCTTAAAAGGTGCTAAAAATACAACTGATATTTAATGAGAATAAACAGACGCTTCCTGTTGGAGACCATGCAAACCGGAAGATGATGGTGTCATACATTTAAATGACATTAAAAACAGCAGGGTTATACTATAGAAATAAAGACAAACCTGGCAGCTTAGAGCTCTGCACTCAGTGAAAACATATCTTTTAAAAATGAAGTAAAAGTAAAGATTTGTGTAAACATAAAATATAGAGGTGGAAATATATCAAAGTAATATAAACTATTGTGAAGTAAAAATGAGGAAAGTATATATATCAAACTAGATTTTTAAAATTTTGAAATTGAGTCTTGAGGAAAAACTGAATTACATCACATATTGCCTAAGGCTTTGGCCAACATCCAAAACAAAGAGCATTTAAATCTACACTTAATTTGCAGAGAAGCCATTTGCCTAAGATGTCACTACCATTAAGAAACAAAGGAGATAAATAGATTTTGTCAGCTAAAGCACTGGGGGAAAAGTCAAAGAATGAGAAACTTTTAGGGATTAAAAAAAAAAAAAGCAAGTAACATCTTTCTATAAAAAGAAAGAGAATGGAAGATTAGCAGTTTTGTGTCACCTGAAATAAGAGTAAACAAGAATAAAAGTTGTCTATTTTTGCTTCTCATTGATTCACCATTTTTTCACGTGTTTACAAATGTCTGCTCTGGGTTGGATGGGTTGGAGCACTCGCCATGGCCTCTTACATAGAAAATGCACATAGGAAGAACAGTCTCTGTTCTTGAGCAGAGAAGGTATAATAGACAGGAGCAAAAAAAAAAAAAAAAAAAAAAAAAAAAGAATACTTTTACCAGTATTAATTGAGTGCTAGGATATATCAAGCCTTCTCGTGGTGTTTGAGTTGTATCAGCAAACAAGACCAAAATCACAGTATGAGACACTTATATGATCAATAAGTTGAAAGGAAGGACAATTATAATTGTCCGTTATCTGTGAGATTACAGAATGGCTACATAGTATGGCCACCTTAACTGACTTTAAAAATAGAGGTGCCGAAGGAGGAGGAGGAGGAGGAGGAGGAGGAGGAGGAGGAGGAGGAGGAGGAATGACAAGGAGAAGAAGCAGAAGAAATGAAGGTGCCCTGGTGCTACTCACAACCATTTTAGCAACAAAGTCTTGGTCTGAGCAGGGTTTGGTCTTACTTTATACCTTCTATAGTGACACGGGTGAACTAAACTATTGCTAAAGGAGGAAATTAAATAAAGCAGGAAAACTTCCAAGCGATCTGGTGTAGAGTGGTGACCCCAGGGGCTGAAATGGAAGGGTGAGACTCAGGAGAGTTTTCACCAAAACCCATACAGTTTCAGGAAAAGGGAGTAGTGAATTTGAGATATATAGGAACATGGTGCTGTAGTTAATAACAGTTGTATTGTACTTCTGAAAAAAAATCTCAAAAAGTAGGTCACCACAAAAACAAATATGTGAGGTAACACATTACTTATCAGCTCCACTGAGCCAATTTTACAATGTTGCCGTGTTTCAAAACATATAATATGTTTTCTTCCATAGGTAATAAATATGTATGCTTATTTATCAGTTAAATGATAAAGCTCATTGCATGGCTTAGATATACAGAAAGAGTTTAGAACCGCAGATCTGTAAGCAATTAAAAACATTTAGGAACTAGAAACCCTAGATTGTAGGAAGGAGAAAGAGACAGACAAAGGGAAACATACATATGTACATGTATGTATATATGTATATATGTATGTGTATACATATGTCTATGAAATTGCCAGCATGCTTGTCAAAGTCCTGCTTTGACGTTTCAGGTGTAAACTGAGGTGAGATATAGAGTCAGTCAAAAGAAGCTGAAAAGCCATAGCTTCTGGCCTCTCAGGGCCAGCACTGTTTGTGACTGGCAAATAGCTCTCTTTAACTCTTTAACTGCCAGAGCTGATAGCTTCTGGCAGTCCTTGCTGACAGCAGTGAGAAACTCAGGGAGAAAAAGAAAGGGTTTCGAGCCAGAAACTGATAGCTTCTGGCATAGGTTGCCAATAGAGAAAGAAAAAAAAAAGGGGGACGGAGACACACATTCACACACCCACACTTGGTGGATAAAGCATAGCATGCTCCAATAACTTTACACCTACATATACATACATGCATTCATGCCTATAGACAGACAAACAGAGACATGCTGACATACATACATTCACACATTGGATGGATGGAACAAAGCAAGCTCCAACAACTTCACACATACATACATACATACATACACACATAAATACATATACACATACATACTTACAGACAATCAGACAGACAGACACATACATGGTGGATGAAGCAAAGCTCTGATGAACAGGCTCCAAAAGGCTCCAACCAACAACAACGTTATTTAAAGCCATTGTCCTTAGGCTTTTACACCCTCTAAGAAAACTTACCTCATAGCCATAAAAGCAGTTATCACAGACACAGATGGAGTCATTACGCAGAGGGAAATACAGCAGGATTATTGATTACTTGTGCCCAACTAAACATGTCTTCTCTATCGCTTCATCCCGCAAGTTTGTTGTTTAAGTTCCAAGCAATAGTTCTTTGTGTCATAGGTTAACAGGGCTCAAGGAGATTACATGTTTGTCCATTAAAACTCATATTTAACTAAACATTCTTCCGCTATCCTTTCATTCCATGAGTTCATTGAAAGTCCAAAGCAATAGTTTTTACTTATCATGGTGCACACCAAGGCCTGTGATCTCATTTACCTTGATCATAAATCTTGTACCAAGCCTATCTCTCTTCCTAGTACAACTTTTGTGCTTGACACAGAAGGTTCACGCACTCCCTATGCAGCTTCCGCTATTCTGCAGGAGGATTTCAAATTACTTGAATCAAATCAGGGATTCTATAGAATTCATTATCAGGAATTATGAAATCCTTAATTTATCTAAACAGCTTTATTTCATGGAAGTACATCTTCGTATGGATTCTGCAGGAAACCTTCCCGACAGAGTGGGCAAGTACACAGGGAACATTAGGCAGTGAGAGCCTCTCCACACTGTGCCGGATATAGGAGGGATACAGAAATGACAAACATGGAAAAAGGCATAGCAGCAGCAAGAAGCAACCATGCCCTACCAGGGCATACCTCATCGTAGCGGTGAAAACTGGTGGGCTGCCTACAGGAAGCTCACCTTGCTTGCTGCATGCATGGACTGTGCCACATGCTGTTAAGTTTTATCGTGGAAGTACTTACTTGGTAAAACCTTTTCAAAGTAAAATGTCAGCATCAGGTAGAGGACACTGTCAAAGAACAGCATGAAAATCGTGGCAATGATTATATTTGCGTTGTCCATTGGGTCTGCGTTAGAATGCACATCAAAATCCAAGTGTAAGAGCTGGAAAATTAAAAAGAAAATAAAAAGGAGCTCAATAAGTCAAAGGTAAATAATCACATTTAAAAGTGATGAACAGCTTAGCTATTTCATGAATGATGATGCTACATCCCTGGAAGACAAAGTTGAACCGTTTGGCGGCCTACATTACATATTTTTGACTGCAAAGCAAGAACATAGAAAACTATAATGAAATTTGTAATCATGTTTAGTGTAGTGAATGTGCATTTCAAGTGCCTCACACATTAGGTGGAAAAGGAACTTAGCGAAGGTGTGGCAGTCATGGAAGAGCTTGCTAAACTGGGAATGGGAACAAGAAAGGGTGCTCTGGGAGAGGCCGCATGGCCGTCTAAAACTAACACACTTTACATCTAAACAAAGACAGCAGGAGAACTAACTGTCGGTGATGGAGAATTGCCTGGCTGGTTAAGAACACTTGCTAAGATCAGAAAGGAGAGGAGGACCTCCCCTATCAGTGACTTGGGGAGGGGCATGCATGCAGAAAGGGGAGGGAGGGTGGGATCAGGAGGGGAGGAGGGAGGGGCTTATGGGGGGATACAAAATGAATAAAGTGTAATTAATAAAAAATTAAAAATAAATAAATAAATAAAAATTAAAAAAAAAGAACACTTGCTGCTCTTGCCGAGGACTCGTGCTCAGTTCCCAGCACCCTCACAAACACCTGCAACTTCAGCTCCAGGCTGTCCAACCCTCTTCTGGCCTCTGCAGGTAAACATGAGTATGCATACAAACACACACACACACACACACACACACACACACACACACACACACTTCTATTAATGCATCTTAATGAGATAAACAATCAGGCTTAACCCATAGCTGAGGGAAAGAGTTTCCACTCATCTTAAGAGCTAAGTAGAGAAGAAGAAGAAAAAAAAAAATACATGAAGATCAAAAAGAGATTTCCTGTTCAATGGTTGAGCATCCAAAATAGTAATTTTCATTTTATTTTGCTTTGTGTTACTGCTTCAGAATTAAACCATATATCCTTCTAAAATTAAATAAGACAGTTAACTGGGATACATCAGTTTAAATTCAATGTATAACATAAACTTTGGGGAGTGACTAAACACAATATACTGTATTAAAGAATTGTGAATCTATTCATCTTTTTACATAAAAAAGAATATTATTTTCTAGGACAAAATGAAGTCTCTATTTTATAGTTCGCCTTTGAAACCTCACAAGTATGTTCTATTGAACTATAGTGCTTAAAAGGCTACATGTTGAAATGAGTGTAAGACTAATGAGTTCCAGGGAGGAAAAATATTTCAGAAATATCACTAATAAACTAAGTGGTTTCCCACTCACCTGGGACATTCCCAGCATAAAGGCAAAGGGGCTGAGCAAAGTTAGAGTCCACTCCAAGGACACAGGAAGGTATCTGTACAATGCTGTGAATCCCAGACTTCCGCATAAAATAGTGAAGAAGAACACCATAAAGTCAGTGAGGAAAGACTTCTTTAGTAAGACACTCAACAAAAAAGACAAAGAGACCTACAACAAGAGAAGACCCAGTTGGTTTATGTTATCACCATAAGAGTTTATGTTATCACCATAAGAGTTATCACTCTAGCAAAAGAAATGATTTCTTGTATAAAACTACAGTTTTTCTCTAGAAGTTTGGCAGAAACTTATAACCACATGGGACTATAGATAAATAGTGTTTACAGATTATCTCATGCAAATAGAAAATAGATATATGCAGAAATCACCTAATTGTTACCAACTTTGTCTCTTAGACTGAGAAACTTTATACAGTTTTTATTCACCAACTCACCAAAGATAAGCCATAGAAGAAAAAGAGACTGAAGATCACCATGAATCCAGTCAAAATGATAAATTGGACCCATTTCACAACAAATGTCAAGAGGAGGGCCACTATGAAGACGATGACACCATAGAGCAAACCCCAGGACAGCCTGATACAAAAACAGAATTCTATTAGTGTTCACAGTTAGGTGAAAAAATAGGACCTATTCTGGGCACTCAGGTAACCCTCCTTTCAGCCACACACTCACTCTCCCTCCAGAATCCACAGGATCTTCTAGAATATAGAAGGAGAATGTAGTAATTTGGGGGTGTAGACATGCAAATAATCTTATATGAAGATGCAAGACAAATCTCATGAACAGTTGCAGTCTTAAGTCAGGTGTGGATGCATGTGGGTCTTGCTGAGTTGTAATTCTTGAGAAGAACTAAGTTAGAATCTCTTTGTCCTGTACAAAGGTTCTCTGGTCTAAATTTTTCTTTCATGGATTGATATGGAAATAAGAATGCCTAATTCTATATCTCCCTCTCTCCCCTAATGTGCTTACAATAAAGTTTTTCTTTCTCCTTATAGAGAAACCAACTGTTCTGTGCTCTTTTAACATCAGCAACATAATAATTTGAATGGTTTTGAGGTTTATATTATTATTATTATTATTATTATTATTATTATTATTATTATTATTATAAGAACACACATAATCTTTTTCCTTTGTCCATATTCTTTTTCTTCATTAATACTTTCAGATGCTTTATAGTCTTAAAATGTTTATAGTCTTAAAACTATACATCTTAAAAATGTTGATGAAGGGACATAGAGAAGCAGCTCTGGCTCGGCAGATAAAGTTCTTGGCATTCAGGCATGAAGACTTGAGTTCGATTCCCAGAGCCTACAAAACAAAGTGCTGTGCGCAGTGGTGACCGGTTGTAACCCCAGAACTAGGGGAAAGGAGACTGATAGGTTCAATGAATGACTCTGTATCAATAAATCAGATGAACAACAGCTGAGGAGTAAACGAGAGGATGATCCTGGCCACTATACATGCACACATATGTGTGCATACAAAACCACACACATACCCTAACATGTGAAGCTTAATGGCCAGCGAAAATGAATGTATTATTGTGGCCGTAAAAATTTATAACATGTTTTATTATTGTCGATAGATGGTTCCTGTAGCATTTCCTACTTTCACTACATTATCATTTATTGATTGACAGCTTATAATACGCCCATTGGACACTTATTTTTTCCCAACTTACAAAACAAAATCCTACCATCCATTCACTTCCTCTGATCTCAGAGACAGATGAATATTAACTTGTAGGAGCTTGAAAATAAGACAAATGTTTCCTGTCCCTAATTATGCATGCAATTCCTATTCTTACAGAGTAAATTTATCTTATCAGGCCAAGAATGTAAAACTTAAGTTATATCTTATGTCAACTACCTACCATTTTTTATTACTGGTCCTCAAAAAAAATATGTATGGCTTTCAACTTGAAGTTTATGCTACTTCATACACAGATCATAACCATAACTGCCCAAACACACATTAATATTTACCATCTACTGATCACCAAATAATTTTCAAAGTGTGGGCTAGGCTTTTACAAGAATAAACTTAGGGGATGGCTCAGTGGTTAAGAGCACTGACTGCTCTTGTTGAGGGTCCAGATTTGATTCCCAGCAGCCATGTGGCAACTCACAAATATCTGTAGTTTATCACCTGGCCTCTGTGAGCACCAGACACACATGCGGTGCACAAACATGCAGGCAGGCAAAACACCCATACACGTAAAACAAGCAACCCTCTCCCCCTTAGTTTTAGAAGAAGAATAAGCATAGTTAATCATGTCAACAACCATACAAAGCAGTTATAGTATAGCTGGATATTATCCCCCACTTTTGGAGAGGCAGAAACTGAGGTTCACTAATTTATGCAGTCTTCTTGTTATAACACAACTGGTGAGGGCAAAGTGAGACATAAGTAAATGATAATTTTATTTATCTATGTTTTGTCCTTCTGTTTCTCTTGACTAAGTCTACTGCTCAGGGAGAATAATTTTTAGTATATTCAGCTCCACAGCACATTCTTCTATAAAGTGTTTAGCATACCATCCCATGTAAGCAATCAAATAAGTTGATTATTTGTCCACAACAACAATAACAAAAAGCATCTGCAGTGGTTCTCAACCTGTGAGTCACAACCCCTTTGGCAAACATTTATCTCAAAAAAATAAAAATAAAAAAACTTACATTACAGTTCATAACAGTAGCAAAATTACAGTTATAAAGTAGCAGCAAAAATAATTTCATGGTTGGGGGTGTTCCCACAACATGAGAAACTGTGTTAAAGGGTTGCAGCATCAGAAGGTTGAGAACAACTTCTTTAATGCAAGCATTTCATTGAATATTAGAAGTTCTGAGTTCTCATGAATCTAAAAGCAATAGATATCGGTTGTGCAGTAACTGAAATATCACTCAATATCTAATAGGTAACCTGTTACTCAACTCAGAATTAAGTGTGGTTAAATCCAGCCTTTCTCTGTCAAGTATAACACTGGGGAAAGTCCATGTAGTTCAGAGGAAACAAAGGCAAGAAGGTTTTAGTAACGACAGAGCATTTGGAGGGTCTGTTATTTTGTTTGAAACAATTTCACTGTTGACACTAAACTCCAGGTGTGACCAATAAGAACTCTCAACTTCTGATCCCTCTCCCTCTACCTCCCAAGAGTTGGGATTAACTGTGTGTGGCACCGTGCCCAGTTTCTATAGTGTTGCAGATCAAAGTCAATGCTTTACGTGTGCTAGGCAAGCTCTCTGCCAGCTGAGCCACATTCCCACTTCCCAATGATTCTCTTGTCCCCAGACAATCACTTTCCCTGAGCCCCAACACTGACTCACCAGAACGCTGAATCTCGAAGACCCATCACTGTCATCAAGCCCTTCAACCTTTTCCTTTCTCGTGTAATACCGGCTGAGACATAATAGGTGAGTGGGGAGAAACAAATAATATAGAAAAAAAGGAAGTAATCAATCGTGGTTCCTCCTTGGACGATGAAAGGCTCTACCTTCATGTATTTTCCAGTGATTGACATCATCTCTTCCATCACTGAGTGATTTGTTGTGACCTAAACAAAGACATCAGTGAAGAAAACATGAACACCAGTCATACAAAGATGACATCCCTTTTGTCCCGAATGTGTAACTGACTTGTCTGGATTTGATGATAGCCTGAGTGTCTTCTCACATGTTCTGTAACTAGGTTATTTAGATGCTAGAGTCAAATCTTTCATCCTGGTCTACCCACACTACTCAGAATTTTATCAACTTCATGCCTCATGTTTTGGGGAAGTTTTTTTTTTCTGTTATGTAAGATAGATGTTTCCCACCTGATTACCCAGTGATGAGGATCACTTCAACAGGAATTCTTCCATCCAAGCTGAGAATTGTGTATTTCTTTATGGACAAGAGCCCTGTTTATAATCCCATGATAACAGATGGTTTCTTTTCTGATAACCATGTGATTACATGCCCGGATCCTAAGAGGACCGATCCCCTGAGGAGTTAAATCTTGTTCTGTTGGTGTTGCTCTCTACATTGTTCTGCTATGACTAAGCAGCAACTTTGGTGAATATTAACGGGGGAAACTGATTAGATGACTAAATCGGAGTGAAAAAGTAAGTAAGTGAGAAAACAAAAGAACATAACTGTCTACTAATATGGTCACAAAACTGAGTTGAGTTAATTTTCATCAAACATTTGCACTCACTTCTATGATGGCTGCATTAATGGCAGCTTGGATAGCCACAAACCCATGTCTCCAGAAGTATGAAACGTCGCAAATAATATTTTCTTCATATGAATGACAATGATCTTTGGGAACAAAGAAAAAATATGATTATAGTATTCGATCTTAATTACGGCAAGCAGTGAATTCTACAATACCCTCACGCACCTCAAGCACATTTGCTGCTCGAAACCTGTGCATCTCAAGTTTATGATTATTAATGACTATTGAAGTGGAGACAGCGAAGCCACCTGCCGTGGGAAGTCTCTTCTGTTTGTTTGATTTTACATCTTCTCAGACTCACTAGGTTTCTCGGATTTCCATGCTTCTCCAGAGCTCATTTTCGAGCGTTTTTCATTTTGCTTTTGTACTAGCAACTCTTGTTTGTCTGCTTTTATTTGCTTCTAGAAGTCACCTTTGTTACAGTGCAGAGGTGAGGTGGGAAGTCTGGGTTAACGGCCAACAGTAACTTGGGAATTAAAGGGTCTATGTTGGCTTACAAGTTACAGTGCATCATTAAGGGAAGCCAAGGTAAAAGCGTGAAGCAGAGACCATAGAGAAATGATGTTTGCTTCCCCTTGCTTGATCAGCTACATTTGTTTTAGGGCCTAGGCCAACCTCCCTAGGTATGGTACCACTCACAGTAGGCTTGACTCTACTACATCAATTAGCAATTAAGAAAATAAGATACAGCTATGCACACAGGCCAATCTAAGGCAAACCATTCTTGAGTCAAGGATCTATTTCCCCAGGTTGTCCAGTTAACAACAAAACTAGCCAGGAAATATCCTTACCTTTCTCATAACATTAGAGGAGTGGAAAGCCACTTAATTTGCAAGGCGCTTAGTTACCTGTGTGGTCCTGGTGTTCCTTCGTGTTTGGGATCCTTGTCTCCTTCAGAAACTTCAAATGATAGGAGTAATTGTCAGTGAATATGACCCTCACTACATCGCCATAATGGACTGAAATGAGTTCTGTCATATTTTCTTCATTTGGAAAAGCCAAGATTTTTCTTCCTGGCAGTCCAAGGAAAAAACACACTATAAGTAAATGTTTATAAACAATATCTATGAGACGCTTGCTGCTTGCTGTGACAAAACACCATGACCAAAGTCAACTTCAGGAAGAGAGAACTGATTTTAGCTCATGGTTTCAGAGTTATAAGAGTCCATGGTGTAGCAGAATGAACTGGTTCTCAAATAGGAAGTGTTATGTTGGCTGTGTTAAATGTCAGTGAGAAATGGATCCTGCATCGCAGTGGACCAATCGAGAAAGAGTTTGATGCTTACTTACATCACTGCCAAATATGGTTAATGATGGTCTTCGTGGACCTGAGTATGACACTGTCACAGGGACACTAGATTCCTCTAAATGTTGAAGTTGTTAGTTTTGACAAATGGAGAAAGCACTCAGGAATCTCTAGGCAGAAGCCAAAGAGTGAGATAGAACAAAAGGGATACTAAGGAAGAGATGAACTTATCATGGTATGCAAATATTTCACCTTCTGTGCTCATATTTTATTGGCAAGATTTAATTGCATGGACCCAAAGAGGTGTGATGCATCTTTGAAATGCATCTTAGATGTAATCATGAAAATGAAAATATATTTGCTAATGATGTCACTATTCTCTTCCATTGGATGTAAAAAATGATATGTTTGTTCAATTCATTACCCATTGGTTTGTTTTTCTTATTGCTGGGGAACTTGATGGTGATTCACTGCTATACATTATAGAGTCTGAAATAATTGTACATTATTTAATTGAATGCGGCAAAAAGAAGAGTCCGTGGTGGCAGGGCAGAGCCATGGCACCAAGCCACAGACGTGGTTGGAGAAGGGGGAAGTTTGTATCATCAAATACAAGCACAAAGCAGAGAGAGTGGCATCCAAGTAGAAACCTAATTCCATTTTCTCCTACACAAAATTTTTAATAAAAATTATTCCGAATTATATGACAACCTTGAGTTAATCACTCATACTAAAATTGTCAAAAGTGTATTTCCAGTGTTATAGATAAAATCAGAGGAATGTATGTAGTTAGTTATTTTCCTTCATATGCTCTAATAAACAAATTCCCATTTGTTCATTACAAATACAAAACAACCTACCATTTACTATTACTATTTTACAGAAAGAGAAGGATTAAAAATATTTTTTAAAAAAGGAAAAACCATTGTACGTATGCATGTTTTTTTTTTCCTTAGGAGAAGGTGTTACTCGAAAACCCATTATGTTTGATGAATATGTCTAAAATATGTAAAGTTCTTAACTAGGGGACCAGCACAGTATGCACCACTAACACGATCCTTACTTTATACAGGCGCTGTGCTGAACTGTATGAGTAGATGTTGCATCGCATAAATATAATTAATAACAAGCGGAAAAGAAGAAAAATAAATGCTCTTTTGTGTTGGCAGTGTTCATAAAAGGAACGGGAACAGACACACTGTGTTCCTGCTTACTGAAGTGCATTTTAATTCCTTGTCCGTAAGCTAAACTGTGGGATCCTTGGAGAGTCACTCGGTTACTTTAGAGATTTCATGCACGTGAAGATAAACTACATCGACCTAGAAAATAAGATGCTGAAGAGACAGCTCAGTGGGTAAGCATGATTTCCTACATGCATGAGGGCCTCAGTTCCAATTCCAGAACACATATAGAAAGCCAGACATGGCTAACGTGCCTGTAAACCCCCCAGCTATTGGAAGACACCAACAGAGGGATTCAATAACCCTAGCCTAGCCTCAACACAATCAGATAGAGAATGATAAAGCCCCTACATCCTGATCAGACTTCTGCTGGCTTCCACATGGATGCTAACGTACACTCCAGAGCTAATCAAGTGAACTATAACTTAATCGGTATGTGTGTGTGGATGTGTGGGGGGGGGTGTAATCAAATGAGCTAGGAAGAGAGTTTTCCTCTGAGTTAGCAGAAAACTCACCTGTCATGTAGGAGACCAAAGAGACTTTATTCATTATGCTCTGAGTTGTGGGGGTGACAGGCGTGTATGCAATCGAAAAGGTGGAGTCGTTAAATGAGTCGATACGCCCCAGGTCCACATCAGGCAGTGATGAAAAATCCTCAAGTCTATTAATTTCAGGATATACAGCTAAACAGAATAGTATAATTGCTGTGTACAGGAGTTCCTATAAGGCCAGATAAAAGCAATAATTTAAAATTAATCAAACAAAATCAATTTTGCCGTAAAGCTAAGTTTTTTTCTGGCTAATTTTCCAATTTTTCTATCTCCATGGATAGATTTTTTTAATATCCACTTAATATTTATTTATTTATTTATTTAAATATTGATGTTTAAATAAATATTCATTTAATATTTAAGCATATTTAAGGGGATGAGGGAGGGGGCTACAGCTGGGATACAAAGTGAATAAATTGTAATAAATTAATTTTTTTCTTTTTTATTTTCTTAATTATACTTTATTCACTTTGTATCCCCCCATGAGCCCCTCCCTCCTCCCCTCCCGATCCCACCCTCCCAACCCCTTCTTCACGAATGCCTTCTCCAAGTCCACTGATAGGGGAGGTCTTCCTCTCCTTCCTTCTGATCTTAGTCTATCAGATCTCATTAGGAGTGGCTGCATTGTCATCTTCTGTGGCCTGGTAAGGCTACTCCCCCTCAGGGGGAGGTGATCAAAGAGCAGGCTAATCAGATTATGTCGGAGGCAGTCCCTCTTCCCATTACTATGTAACCCACATGGACACCAAACTGCCATGGGCTACATCTGTGCAAGTGTTCTAGGGTTCCTCCCAGAGACTCATACTCCAACCAAGTACCAGGCATGGAGATAATTTTTAAGAAAGAAATTAAGCATCCCTTGTAAGTTTCAAGACTTATTTTTTTTTAATATTATCTTACTGTATACCCGAAGTGGACTTTTAGGTTGTGATTCTCAGGCCTCATCCTCCCAAGTATAAAGATGTAGCCACTACACCTAGCCTCTTCTAGGGAATTTTGGATGGAAGTAAAAGTTACTGCTCTAGAACGAGGAGAGGGACTGAATTTTAAAAATGCAGCAGTAGGCTGTGATAGGGTGCAAACTCCCTGCAGCCCTCCTTAGTTTGATTTTGCTGCGAGAATCAGTGGATGGAGACAATTCCAAGACACTGGTGATTTAATAATTATTTTGTCTTAGTTGTCCTAGCATTGATGATTTAATGATAATTACTATTTTGGACGTATTTTTGACTGCAGGATAAGAAAACTCAACAAAAAGCAAGAACCTCAGAATACTGCTCTGACTTGACAGGTGTCCATACCCGTGAGCTACAAACAGCAAATCACTCTAAAGGTGTTTCTTTTTAACTTCCAAAATGTGTGTGCACGAGCATGTGCACGCGAAACACATGCATCCATGTACACAAGCACCACAGTACCCATGCAGAGGTCAGTGACAACCCATAGGGGTCAGTTGTCCTTTAGCATCATGTGAGTTTAGGGATCAGAGTCATGACCTCAGGCTTGGATGAAAGGGCTTTTGCCCCTGCCCCCAAGCCATCTTTCCAACCCTGGCCCAATGCTTGGCTTTTTAAAAGTTCACTGATTAGGTACTTAGTATAATCACAATCCAGTTAACAATTGCTACCTGACTACAATGTCTGATGCTTTGATGGAAAGATTTTCTTCACAGTATTATGCCAATTTCCCAGCATCATTGTGTTCTTAAGAAACCAAGTGCTTTTTAAAAGAGATCCAAAAGTAAAGCCCTCTGCCATTGGTGTGTCTCTATTAGCTCACTCATTGTCTCTTTGACCTACTGCTTTTCTTAATCTTAATTAGTGAGCAAAACAGTTTTAAATGCCTTTGTAAGGTTTTAAGATGTTTATTGTAGTCTCATTGGCACCCTCCATTGTTGTACTTATTCCTTAATGAATGGCCTCCGGGTTCTGTGTAGAGGTCTGATTTCTTCTCCGGGGTTCATCTTCCGTACTGGCACACAAGGGAAACACACTGGGCTATCACACAGAAAACAGGGCAGATCCTGAGTCGTACCAAAAAAGTGTCTCTCTTCATTCTCTTTTTTCGAAGCAGATTCTTGCAAAATAAAGCCCATGTTTGTTGGCACACATTTATCTTTCTGTTAACCATCTTGGTCTGTTTAGTAAGAGAAAAAGAGAAGGGTCAACAAATACTAAGTTCTTTAGAGGAAATTTTCTGTACATGTCAGAGCCTGGTTGACTATTCACAAGAAAATGCTTGGATTCTGGGAATTCCTACCTTATCCAATGGGTATCTCTTCTATTTCCTTCCCATTTCCTCTTCTCACACCCAGACTCCTTCAACATTGTATTTCCTTAAATGACATTCCCCTCTTGATTCCATAAATACATTAACATTCTAATTAGTGTAATACATAGCCATTTAAACACACAGAGAGAAAGAGATACAGAGAGAAAATTATGTGGTTCTAGGCCTGGATGTCCTTTTACATGTAATACATAATCAACACAGCTAGTACAATGTAAGGGGAAGATTAATTCAATGTGAGAAGAATACTCTATTTCACTTGGGAGAAAAACTTAATTTGTGAGAACACTAAACTTCTAAGGTAGGAAACAAAACAGAATTTTGGATCTGAACAGTCTCTTTTCTAACACTACAATGAAAACAGTATCATGGACAATATTGCTGTGCAGATATGGAAGATTATGTCCAGAAGAACTGAAAGTATTAAGTAAGGAACTTAATCCTCTTAGTTCTTGTTATTGTTGCAAAGTAATTTTGTTCTGTCTTTATAATACAGGAAAGTAGATGTATTTTTGCACATATTATGAACTGAATAAGTATCTTAAGTAATTTCACAGGTTGCCATGGGAAAGCTACATTGTGTTTGGGCATGTTTGAGGCGGTGGTAATGTTGCCCCTGAAACTGAAATTCAAGCAGGCTTTAGCTCGGTTAAAACTCATGAGGTCTGGTCTAACTTTTCCAGCTTTCTGCTGTTGATCATCTGCCAGGGGATGACATAGATTATAAAGGAAGTAGCTGTCATTTTAATGGGGTAGGAATATATGTAGAAGTGTGTTTGATTGAGTGGGAGAAGCTGGGCATGGAGAGAAATGGTGGATAGTGTTTTAGAGTCATAGTAGTAACAAGGTAGAAGTTACGGGCACGGTGGAGGGAGAGTCTGATGAGAAACCATAACTTTTTCTATACTCTTCCTTGATAAAGGGTACTGATTAAAGTAGGCACCATACCAAATAAGTTCACACTAGGCACCTGAGAAGGGTACCATTATTCCCAGTAAGTAAAGAAGTTGAAGAGTTTGAGAAGTTTTTATAGTAATGTTCAGCTTTTTTGCAACATAACATGTTGGATTTTTTTTAAATTCACTTTGCATCCTTGTTGTAGCCCCTTTGCTCCTCTCCTCCTAGTCCCACCTACCCTCCATCCCCCTCCCCTCTCCCCTTTTCAGAAAAAGGAGTTTCTCTTTTCCATCCAGCCCAGCTCATCAAGTTGCATCAGGACTGCGCATGCCCTCTTCTCCTGGGGCCTGGCAAGGCAGTCCTGCCAGAGGCAAGTGATCAAAAAGCTGGCAAGCAGTCCATGTCCAATGCAGTCCCCCTTTCTCTTACTAGAGGACCCGCAAGAAACCTAAGCTGCCATCTGCTACATCTTTGTAGGGACCCTAGGTCCAGTTCCTGCATGGTCCTTGGTTGATGCTTCAGTCTCAGCAAAGCCCTGCTTAGTTGTTTCTGTCAGTCTTCTTATAGGTGACCTCCTGTCACCTCCAGGTCCTTTTTTCTTTCCTCCCACTTTTCAACAAGACTCCCTACACCTTGCCCAATGTTCAGTTGTGAGTCTCAGCATCTGTTTTGAGCCTCTGTTTTTTGTTGTTGTTGTTGTTGTTTGTTTGTTTGTTTGTTTTTAAGTAGTGGTCTTCTGAGAGGAAACAAAATGTTCCTTCCCCGAAAATAGCCCAAGAGAAGCTGCTGAGGTATGACTTGGGAGGATAAGGTTCTTTCTAAAGCTGACAACAGACTAAAGCTGAGCTAGAGCCTACTGAAAGGCACCACAGGTATTTCCATGGAAGGGCTGGCCATGGCTCAGTGTATGTGCAGTAGTTGGCAGGTCTAGTCACCTGCACTTGGAAGAGTAATAACCAAGAATAAGAAGCAATGATGTCAATTGATGAAGAACGTGTTTGGCTGAGTTTAAAGTATGTAGGGTTGGCCATGGCTCAGTATTTCAGGCATGTGGTATACAGTTTATTTGTCATTTATGCTGTACTTTCATTGCCAAGTACATACATTAACCACTATGTATTGATCATGCCAAGAGATACATTAACCACTATGATGACTGAATATGCATGTAAATTCTTGAGTTATCACACTAAGAATGTGAGGAATTTAAACATTTAACGTTTTTGATATATGGACAGATGGTCATATATCAAATTCAGAAATTGTGAATTTGGAAATCATTTTTCTGCAAAGAAAAACATCTCACTTCATAGCTATTTTTTAATATTTCTTAGGAATTCACATTTTACTTAAATCCTTACTGGTTTTGAATTTCAAATAATTTATTGTCACCTGCTTTTTATTTATTTTTTTTAGGGTAAAATGCAGAACAGATGTAGGCACAGAGATGAGGAAGCAGGATCTGGTGCCTTCCTGGGCCAGTGAGGAATTCTCAGATTTGTACAGGAGGTTGAGCAAGGATGGCACATAAAGTAAGCGGCCACCTTTCCAACCCCTGCTCATGCATTCCGCAGCCTTATCTTCATAAAGATTTTTATAATGGCTGTTTGTCAAGTTCTTGCAAATGTCCTGCCAACCAATTATCGTAAAAACCTAGCTGAAAAGGTGCTATTTTTTTTGTGGAATGCTTTCAGAGATGGCAATTGTGAACTCCGCTCCTCTCTACTGGCTCTGCCCATGGGATGATGAAAATTGACCTTTCTTATAAAAACGGGAGGAAATAGCAGGACGGATGGCCTGGACATGAGGATGCGATCTTACAAAATTCTCCAGTTCAAGCTTTTTACAAAATTCTCCGGAGGTTAGGGCACAGATAAGAACGGGAGAATAACTCAGAGCCCACTCGGTTTCCTTTTTGTGACTGGGTGGGGGAAGATGAAAAGGGATGGTGCTGTGTCTTCTACTGGGTTTGCATCTAAAGATTCGAGCTATTTCATCAGGCATGAATCTGAATGGTTTGTGTGGAATTTCCAACTTTAGCTTTTCAGAATTAAAGAGAATAAGCAGTAAGACATGGCCACCTTCGAATTACACTCTTCATGGTAGAGATTAGGCAATGGAGCACACTCTACCCAAAACGCTACAGACAAAGGGGCATTTACAGTGGAATTGTTGGTCCTTACTTTGGAGGGAAGGACTTATAAGCAGTGAAAATTTGCCACAGGACTATCATTAACATAAAATATATGCCCCTATGAAACTGACCTTTACTTCAGAAGATGGGTGGAAGGAAAGAGAGTTCAGAAGGTTAAACATTAAAATATCATAATCTCTCAATTTTGTTGTTCAGGATAGTAATTGCTGAGTCAATGACTGTGTGAATAGATGGTGAATCAGATGGAAGACAGTTTCTCTTGGAAACTCATTTTATATTTTTAAGTATAGAAACATCTTAACTTGACATGGAATAAGGAGGATAATTTGTCTACAACTTTCAACTCAACAGAAAAAACAGTAACCCATTTTTCAGCTCTTTCATGCTTAAACCTGCTCTCTCTCTCTCTCCCTTTCCTCCTCTCTTTCTATTATATATATTGTCCATTAGTGTGTATCTTGTTCTCTGGTGGCTAGATCAATTTATTTTTGGAAGTTTTCCTTTTTTCATGAAACTAAATGCTCTATTACTGCTTCACATTTCTTGTTATAAATATGTATGGTAGATATTGTTTTGTTAAAATATATAGAATGGCATTTTAAATTCATTATATACAGAGAAGAGGTTGTAAACAGTATGTAGCCTATAATCTAAAGACAAATGCTGTATGCCATTATGTTATCACAAATATTTTTCAAAGAAAAAGAAAAAGAAGCAATGATGTCATGTGTGTGTGCGCGTGGGCATGTGTGTGTGCGAGTGTGTGTGTGTGTTCATGTGTGTGTGTGTGTCTGTCTGTCTGTAGTGTCCATGGGTACCAGGGAATTTGTGGACAAACAGATGATCTTGGTGAGGATTAGGACATTATAGAGACACAGAGATGTCTCTATAAAGATGAATCCACAAGCTGGCTCAACGTTAAGTGCGCTTGCTACCTGAGTGTGAGCCCTAGGACTCATATGTTGGAAAGAAAGAGCTAATTCCTACAAGTTGTCTCTGACCTCCACACTCATATGATGATATACGGGAGCCTCCTCACCCCCCGCCCCAGCCATCCCAATAAATAATTTTTAAAAACCCTTGAGGTCCTCTGATTTAAATGTTAATTGTGTTTAAAACACACTTTCACAGCAGCATCTAAAATAGCATTTGATCAAAGAGCTGGGCCCCATAGTTCAGCCAAGTAGACACATGAAATTCACTGTCACAATGTGAGAATTTATATAGAGAAGTTTACTCTGGCAGAACATTCCCCAGAAAGGGAAGTTTCATAGCATTGTTGACTATAACATCTTTCCATACCCCAAACCAAGAAAATCGCACACAAATCCAGTTTGTCAGGCCTTTCTGGAAGCTGCACATAAAAGAAAATGAAACAGCATAACCCTTCATTAAGTTCATTAAAACGTTAAATTGTGGAAGGCAGGGGCTTGCTTATACTGAATTACACAATCAAATTACTTCAGAGGGAAACATCAGTTTTCTGGGAAGCGTACCAGAGCTACTGCTTCCATTGTGCTGCTCTATGCAGACCTGTGTCAACTGGCTCTTAATTCCTAGTAATTGGTGGAAGTAACCTTTCACCAACATGTTGCCTAAAACTAGTCCACAAAGTTGTGATGAGATATCACTGTACAGATAAAGAATAGACGTTTGCCTGCATGATACTCTCATCCCATTCATGAGACAGGTTCAAACAGAGAGCTGTCTACTTTCCAGGATAAAAGTTCAGGTGAAGAGTCCAGAAGCTAGTCTCATTGAGCAGATGTACAGCAGCCACTCACATTTCCAGAAAAGAAAACATGTGGCAATTAAGGGAGGCTTAGAGGCAAGTCTTGGTGTGAACGGATGGAGAAGAGATATCAGAAAGCCCACGGGCTGACAAATGGAGAGAGGAATGTAGTACTAGCAAAAAATAAACGTTTTAGGTCAAGGTGTCCAGGAGTCGACAAGAATTGGTCCTGGCAACATGAGCTTTCTCAGAGAGATGGTACAGTTTGAACCAGCCAAGGGAGCAGCCACAGCCCTTTGCAGTCAGAAGAACTGAGCCTAACTTCCAGCCCCAGAGTTCCTCTGTAAATCAATCTTCATCATAAACATTTCCCCTGCTTGTTTTTTCTTCCCTCTCTGATTCGTAGATGCTTGCTAGCTCATGTACAAATAGAAATGAAGGTTTTGCTTCAGCATGAGTGAATATTACTGAGTCTCTATGCCAATCAACAAACTGTGTACTACAAACTCCTGCAGACAGCAACGGGTATAACAATTGGAATAATGCCATTATAATGAAATGGCATGTGTCTCATTATGATTCATTACATCATACCTGCAGACAAAAACATGCAGGTGAGTATCTTACATTAAACAACAACAACTGCAGGTCTGGGGATGGCAGGCTACAATAGATAAAAAGCATTTCTCTAAATGTCATTCTAAAAAATTCTCAGGGTTATAGAAAGTGGATTGGAAATGCCTGCAAATTATTGTGCAATAAAAATACACGTGCGTATAACTGCAGCTTGACCTCAGATTCACATTCAGATTCACAAGCAGTACATGCTTCCAGAAGACTTACTTACATTTCTCATGATCACTAACACATTGCTGGCACATTCCCACATTTTTACTTAAAGCAATAAAGTACGACAATGTCTTTACAAGCAGCTATTCCTTTTCCTGTAGACCACATAAAAACAAAACCCACTGTCCAATAAACATAATTTCTCCCTAGAAATTTGTCTTGAGTAAATGAAGTCTCACTTATAATTATATAACACAAACAAAACAAAAGCAAAGATGAACTTACCTCTGGAATGTCTGAAGAAAGTGTCCTAGAATCTTGGTTTACCCCTGATTCCTTGCTTCCCCGTCTCTGTCACATCTGTGTTGTTCTGATTCTGTTTGCCTGTTTTGAGCATTCCCAGACTGACTGCTTTTGGAGGAAGATCATAGTTGTCATTTTCTTGGCCTGCTGAGCATTGTATTCACGTGACTACTCTTGAACGAATCTCTTCTCTCTCACTCGCTCGCTCGTCCGCTCTCCCTCTCTCTCTCTCTCTTTATTTTTCTTGACTTCCAGCCAGTTCCCACAGCTAGCCCTACTTGTTTGACTAATTATAGTGTCACGAAAATCTGTGTTGAGGAGGGAATCCAAATTTGTAAGTTTTCTATGCCCTCCCCCAAAACAAAAAATTGGTAGATTTCAAAAATAAGTAAATAAATAAAAATCATCCTCTAAAGGATAAAAGAGCTCAGAGCTCTGAATTTACTCCACAGTGCTGAGTCAGATAATCTAGTCAGGTTTCAAACAACATAGAAAGCAATACATTGATTTTTTTTTTCTTTTTGTATCATATCTTCCATCCTGTCCACTTTATCAGTTCCTGGTCTTATCAGCATCAGCCAATGAGCTCTAGCTTTGGAATGTGCTCAGCATTATGGATCTCAGGAGATAAGGCTCAGCACAACATTGAGCTATACACAGGAGATTGAAAATCTAAAGTAAGGCAACCATAAAACGGCATTTTCTTTTGGTAAAAAAAGTCATAATTTAATATAGAGTTATTAATGAAGAGAGAAGTTGTAATCCCTGCCCAGCTAATATTTAGAAAATTCAGTTTGATTTATATAGCTAGAAAAAATGAAAATTAGTTCCCGGGCATCAATGCACTTTCAAAATGCCAGTCTACAAAAGATCACTTTTGACTTCGGATACTATTCCCTGAATATTCTAAGATTACACAATGAAATCTGTCAGATTTAAACTTATAAAACAAGCAAATGCAGTTGAATCTCTGAGGTGTTTACCTATTCAGAATTCTGAGATCGTTTCTATATTTCTGGCTGATGTACACTCACAAGCTCTGGGAAGGATTTGCTGCTCTGTAAGAATTCATGCCCATTTTATGTCCTGATTTTAGCTTCCCTGTCAAGACACTCAAAGAAACAGCTCTTTCTTCTACAACAGCTGCTGTCATCCTTGAAAAACATCTTTATTTCCCTTCCAGAAGGCTGCCATATTTGCTTTGCCAAAGGTTTTACTCAGTTAGCCCTGCTTTGCGGAGGTTTTTTTTTTTTTCTTTCTTTCTTTCAATTTCCCCTCACAGAAATATTTACAGATTATTGTGCAACATGCCACCGGGGCCTCCACTGTTGTATAAACATGCAAAGAGCCGTGAACTACAAAATAAAGTGTTATTGCGACAGTTGCACTACAGTATTTTATATTAACCATTTTTATACCAATTCACTAATTTATTATAAACCAGTACTTCTTTTTGTAAATTAGCCCAGAGTTCTGAGAGAAAAAAAAAAAAAAACCAAAGCTCTCATATTAAAAAAAATTAGAATTTTTTTTTTTTGGTGTGTGTTTGTATAGAGATAAGACTACCAAGCCATTGGCTAGACAAAGACCTTGGTTTAATTCAAAAGTGTCTGGGTAGTTCTCAACCTGCCTAATGCTGTGACCCTTTAATACAGTTCCTTGTGGTATGTTGACCCCAACCATAAGCTTACCTTCATTGCTGCTTCATAACTGTATTCTGCTACTGTTACAAATCATAATGTAAATATCTGATTGCAGAACATCTGATCTACAACCCTTGTGAAAGAGTCACTGGGCCCTCAGAGGGGTCGTGACCCACAGGTTGAAAAACACTGTCTTAGCAGTTTATCAGAGCCCTGAAGGAGAAACACTTACTTCAGGTTTTTAACCTGGCCTTTCCTTGGCCTGAATTACTCTTTTGGCCAGTGTCGTCCCAAGTAATTATTATAATAAACAATGCTAAAACTTCAATTATCTTAATATAATAAATACATTAATGTAATAAATAATAATATAATGTAATATAAATGTTATATGTTATATATAATTATATATAATTTTAATAATATATAAAATTATATATGATATAATAATACATATTATATTACATATAATATAATATTATATTATATATAACTTTATATATTTTTATATAATTATATATATTATATAATATATATAACTTAATATAATAAAGCAGTTTGTAGAAGTTTATTTTTCTTCCTTGTTGTTCCTCTCAACTACTCCACTATAGGATATCTACATTCCTTCTCTCATGGCCACCTCATTTTCAAAGACAGACAGAGAGCGTCATTCCCCTCCTCAGAACCTCAGCAATTTCCTTCTTTTCCACTGGTCAGGGGAAGCTCGTTGGCACAGATCACCCTCTCATAATGCCAGCTGTGTCCTACAGCAGAACAGATACTGTGGAATAATCGCATCCCACAGAAGAAGAGACATCTTTCATGGGTCAATTTAATATTTATTTCTTATTCGCTTTTTTGAATTTTTAATTTTATTGACAATTTCATATATTTATGTAACGAATTTAAGTGGTTTGCAGTTCCCGTTTTCCTCACATCACCATGCCTATGCACTCTTACAAAACCCTCTTTCCAGAAACTGCCCCTCCTGCTTTCATATCTTCTTTTTAGGTGTAATCCACTGAGCGTAATTAAAGATTCTTGCCCAAGTGCAGTGAAAAGTTATTTTCTGGGTCAAGCACAGCTTCACAGTAGCCAGATCACTGAGGAAAACGGTGCCCTCTGCTCCAACCACCACCAACCACCCAGGGGATTGTGGTCCAATGTACTGCAATATTGTTAGGAGCCTTTTCTAAAACAACCAATTTATTCACAGAAATGACCAATAGTGGGAATTCTTAGTCATCAGAATGTTGGTGATGTTGCCATTATTGTGCTGTGCTTTTGAAATGAACATAGCTCTGAAATTATCTGTGGCTCAGGTCTGTTGTCTTGTTTTCCTTCATAGAACTATGAGCTGTAAGTCTTTTTTGAAACATTCACACTGTTTTGCTAACTTTCTTAACCAGGAAAATGTACTGTCAGGATACTGAAATGGTAGATAGCTTTCTTGGTATCTCCCATAATCTATCCCATCAACATATTCTCATTAGAGTGTTTCACTAAAAAAAAAAAAAAGTGTTCATAGGACAAATGAACAGAGTCTTAAAGGCCTGGTAGAGAAAAGCTTTGAATGCAAGAATCATTGCACCACTTGTCCTTTTGGTTTATTGCAAAAAACACTTAGTCTACTACTAACAGGTACAGTCTTCCACGTGGATATGTGCTCAAAAAACTGGAAGTGTCACCACAGAAATATTTGTCTATCCATACTTACTGCTGCAATGTTCCCAATAACGAAGAGACAGAACTAGCCTGGTGTTCTAACAACAGATGCGGAAGGAAGATGTGGAAAGGAAAATGTGGTACATACATGTGATGGGATTTTATTCAGTTGTAAAGTAAAACAAAAGTATGACATTTGCAGGAAAAAGGATGCAACTTATGTTATTTGAAGTGTCCCAGATTCAGACAAATTCCCTTTATTTGTGCTCATATATAAATCCTAGATTCAGATTTGTGTGAATCAGAATTCACACACATGCACACAAGTGAGGGCGCACACACTGGTAGTATAGATTATGAAATTAGAAAAATGAAAGAGGAAAAGGGGACTTTAGGATTGGTGTCCTAGTTTCCTTTATTAGTATAACAAACAGCATGAGCAAAAGTCACTTTAGGAAAAAAGGTTTTATTTTAGCTTACAAGTTACAGTCCTTCTCCCAGGCAAGGCAGGAACTCAAGCAGAGATCATGGAGGAATGTTGCTTACTGGCTTGCGTGCCCTGGTTTGCTCAGCTACCATCCAAAGTTCACTTGCCTAACACTGGTACCACTGAGAGGGGGCTGGATACCCTTGTATCAACTGACAATCAAGAAAATGCCTGAGGCTGGAGAGAGAGCTCGGTCCTAAGAGCACTGGCCCCTCTTCCAGAGGACTTGGGTTCAATTCCCAGACATGGAGGCTCACCTCTGCTTGTAATTCCAGTCTCTGGGTATTTGTTGCCCTCTTCTGGTCTCCATGGGCATTGCAAACATGTAATGCACAGATACACATGCAAACAAAATATACATATATTTTTTTTTAAGAAAAGAAAATGCCTCACAGACATGCCAACACTTCCTCAATTGAGGTTTCCCTTTTCTAAGTAATTCTAGTCTGTGTCCAGCTGAGAAAGACTGATGAGGGGAACATAAGAGAAGGCTTTGGATACGTGCTACCTAAAGGTAGAAGGGGGCTAGTGGGTGAGAAGATGACCAACAGTGTAATGCAGGGGAGGAAGGGGGGAGAGCAACAGAGAAGTGTCAACAGAAACAAAGACTGTATGAAAACACCGCATTGACACCAATTATATTTTTATTTTGTTTTTGTTTGTTTGTTTGTTCTGAGTGCAGATGTGTAGACACACACACAACACCACATGTGCCTGGAGGTCAGAAAACAACCTGAGGGATGGTTCTCTCCTTCCACAACAGGTATCCAAGGATTAAACTCAGGTCATCAGGCTTGACAACAGGTGCCTTTACTTGCTGAGCCATTTTTTTCTGACCCCAACTAAAGTGCATTTAACGTATTGATTTGTATCAATTAATTTGTCATTTATAAAGCCAGGTAAATCGGTAGGGGCCAGCATTAATGTCTCCTTTTAAAATTAAAGGTTTGGAGCCTTGGCTCAAGTTCTGCGAGTTTAGGGTAGTTGATATTCATGTAAACTATGAAAATACAACCCTGGCATCAAGGTAAATTTTTTCACATAACTGCCTGTAAATGTTTGGTGAATTACTAACAGTAACAGCAGTAACGACAGAAATCTCCTAGATAAGGGTTCAGGGTAACTGTACTGGCGTTGCAGTAACTGGGCTGCAGAGCTCACAGGCTTGGTAAGTAAAGGCTGGCAAAGCTAGTCCTTTCACCTAAGAGCACACTGTTGGCATCACTTTTTAAAAGGCAAGATTTCAGAAACATGCAGCCCGTCATTTAATGACTTTGTGTATTTACCCCAACAAGTGTAAAGCTGATTTTGTAGTCACAACGGACAAAACATTTCTCTGTAGCCCAAAGTCTGCAAACTGTCAAAAAAGAAGAACCAATGGATGAGGAACAGGTCAGAGTGAGTTACCAAAAACAAACACTGTGCTGTTGGGAAATCCATCGATTCTCTTCTCCCTGAAGTCAATATTGTTTACATTATACCTTCCCCAGACCACAAGGAAAGACAATAGGTAATGTTTTGAAATTCAGGGGAAGATCAATCAGTCTCTGGAGCTCAGAAGCATCGATACTATTATCAATGGATTTTAAAACTCCATACTGTGTGAAATGTGCCTTGGTTGAGGGTGCTCTGTCTGCGTGTTCTAGCCTGTTCTCCCTTTGGCCATTACTTAAAAATTCTGACACGAGCTTCAAAAGTACTTAGTGCTGCATCTGAGATGAAGAAGGAACATGGATGCTATTATAAATACTGTCTTTAAATGAGCTTGAAGAGAAAGGGAATGCTTAGAAAGTTAAGGCTCTTCCTGTGGGAGGAGCTTCCACTTCACTGAGGAATCTAGTTCCTCCTCAAAATCACCCAGCTCCTGCTCCTTGGAGAGCTCCAGGAAGACCTAGGAGAGAAAACACATAAAGAAAGAAATGAGAGGCATAGCATACTCCTTCAATAGCTGCAAATGATACAAAGGTATATATATGTATATGTGTGTGTCTGTGTGTGTGTGTATATATATATATTTTTTCTAAGCTTATTTGCTCTTTTTTTGCATGTGTATTCATGTCCATATGTGTGTTGGTACATTTGTGTACAGGTATCTGTGGAAGCCTGAAGTTAGTGTCAAGTGTCCTCTTCAGTTTCTATCCACACTTTATTTACAGAGGGATGGGCACTGAATTGAATCTCTCCAGCCAGCATTCCCTGATTAAGGATTCCACCTTTGTTTCCACTCTGTTAGAACTACAGGAGTCAGCTATGCCTACTTGGTTTTTTGTGGATCCTAGGGATTCAAACTATGGCCCTTAAAGAAGTTCAGAAAGTGCTTTATTCACTGAGCCATCTCCCCAGCTCTAACCTTGCTCTTTGGGATGATTTGCAATGGCTTGAAATGACCCACCTGCTCCAGAGTGGACTGTGAGAGGCTGTATTCTTCCAAGTCAAAGTTCTCTTTCACTGTGTAAGGAGGAATGGCCATTAGGGATGCATACCTTTTTATTCAAGGACTTCTATCAATTTATGTACAAAGAAACAATGCACACAAATAATAAAAATATGTGATAATAACTATTTTTGAGTTAACTGCTGGAAAGTAAACACACCATTTGGTCTTATAAAAATATAGAAATGCTGTTCTTTTTCCTTAGAGTCTTGGCAAAGGCACTAGAAAATGGAAAAGAAGAATAAGGAACTCCAGAACACCAATATGAGAACATGGTTCTCCTTGAACTGGAACTCTCCCATGTGCCTCCTACATCCATCCTTCTTCTTTCTGCTGCAGAAGCTGGTGTTAAGTAGTGTGTCCCAGTGGGTTTTCAATGGAAAGGGGAAAAAAGTAAAAGGGATCATGATGTTTATTTTTTCATTCTCTTCCTGACCTTGAGTCTCTATTTTTTGGCCACTATTTTTTCTCAAAGTAATAAATTCTACACCGTTCTGCTTCAGGCTGTGTCTGTCTGTCTCTTTGGCTCTAACAACATATGGCAGCCATTGTGCTTATCTACAGTCTCACGATGATGTGTTGCTATATAATAATTCCAGATGTGGTAACTACAATGCCCATGATCAACCATGATGCCATCTTCCCTCTTTCCTCCTCCCCTTCCTCAGTTTATAAGACAAGGCAGGAACATAGTAAGAAGAGAGATTAAATAAGACCTTGCAACCTTCCTAGGTATTGGCAAATGTGACCTGAGAGAGGAAAGACCCTAGAGTTGTACTGGAGTCGGCAGTACTCACACTTGATCTGATGGTATGAGAGAATGAATTCCAGATGTTCATGGAACATGCATTGTTCTTGAAAAGTTCTGAGCCTAGTTCCTTCAATAAGTGTACTGAAGCTGAGAACATAATGGCGTCTAGTGACACTTGGGGAAATGTTAAACTACATGCCTACATTTGGCAATTTGTATCATCTTCCCATAATGAGGTAGAAAGTTGGCATTAAAAACTGTTTAAAAATCACCCAAAGTAAGAACCTCAGTGTTATCAAAGTAAATACAAGAGAAAAAAAATAAAGCATTTAGAAAAGAATATTAGTGAAAGCATAAAAATCTGAAGGCTTTTAAAGAAAGCCTTTACAGTATTCCAGGGAGGCAGCCTTCCGGAACATCGATCCTGTTAATACTTATCTAATACAAAATACATCCTGTTTATGAGAGTTCCATGGACTCCTCATCAGAATGATGCAAACCTAGCAACCAGGCCATAAGTAGTCACACTGAAAAACAGTCCATAAGGCGAGAATATACAGTAAGATAAGAAAAGAAAAACCTGTAGGGTGACCCTAACCATGTATCAAGAAGAAAACACAAGATGAGAAGTGAGTCTTCAACAGGAAGCATTTGGCAAAATTGAAAGCACAGGAAGAGGCATGAGAAGCAGTACTGCAGTGTGAATCTGAACTGTCCTTCAGACATGCTTCTTCATGCTGTGATGGACCAGAATTATCTGACACCATGAGCCAAATCAAGCCTTTCCACTCATAAGTTGTTTCTGGTATGTACGTGACCACAACAACCCAGAGGCAATATGGAAATTGGTATCAGAAGTAGGGTTATTTCTGTGATTAAACATGACCATTTGGTCCTCCGACTTTAGACATCAGTTTATGGAAGGAATGTGGAAAGGTTTGGGGAGAGGGCTAGAAAACTCTCTGGAATTCTATAGGAAGAGCTTATGGGAAGACCCTTCTGGTGAAAGCCCCAGATGACAGCAGACACACAACTGGGAAACCCTGTATTCGTGAGGTCTCAGATGTGAACAAACACTCCACTGGGAGTTAGCCTAGGGGTCACTTGTGTGACTTCTGGGAAAGACTTCCTGGGAATTTGAGTGAGACTAAATTCAGAGTAATAGACTTATTAGTTGGGTGTAGAAGTTTTTGAGACAAAGCAGCATTCAGAATACAGTATAACTATTGTTTGCTGCTGCCTTTTACCCAATTTTACAATGAGAGACAGGACTCATTCGCAGAGTGAAAGTTTTGCATGCATTCTTAATGCAACTGGCGCTTGTACCAAGGTTCCTGGGAAAAGTGTAAGAGGCCAGGCAATGTGTAGTGGGGTCAGATTCCTGGGAAGACCATGCATAGAGCTTAGAATTGTGATACCTACATTGTGGTAAAGGCTTTAGTAGGCTGCAGGAGACAGAGATGAAAAGCATCTACCAAAGAAGGCTGCAGGTAGTGAGTAGATCAGGGCCAAGAAGGCGGTCAACTGTGCTACAAATGTCAGGCTCACAGGGAGGAGGCAGTCACCTTATGCCAAAACATGCTTTGGATGTCTGACATTTAGCTACAGGAACAATGTGGCTTACTGTGTGTTCTGGTCTTGCTTTTATGCGGTGTCTGCTTGCTGTCCTTCTCTTACTCACCTTTAAGTAGGGATATTTTCTCTGAGCCATTGTCTATTGGAAGCAGATGGCCTTCATTTTATTTTACTAGGGCTTGCAATTCAGAGTTTGCCTAGAATCTCATGAAAGACTTTCACACAGTGTCAGGACTTTTAAGGATGATGGGGACTTTCAAAGTTTGACCGAATGCGTTTTGCATTATGAGAGGGAGACATCAAATCACTGCTTGTTGAGAAGCACTGGGCTATATGTCTTAGCAATTTAATAATTGTGTATCATGAACATTCCCTTAATTTTAAAGCTGGTTTAGATTTTTATGATTTGGGGGCATTATTTCTAAGCATTCACTTACATCTCTCCAATTTGAAGAAAGCCTGTGATAAAGGTCGCACATCGTCAACGGGCAGCTTATAGACCATCAGAGAGGAGTATCTGTGACGAGAAGGAGTATGAACACTGGGTTTCACGGTTGCCACCTCTGATGCATGCGTGTCTGGATACAAGCAACCATCCTGACAACTATCTGCATAAATGTTCCTCTTATGACTTGGAGATGACTGTAGTTCAAGTGCTCTCTGATTAACAAGAAGTCGGTGTGCAAGGAGGAAGACTGGGGCACAGGGGAAGAAATCAGCAGCGTGATGTCTTAAGAAGTGCAGGAACAAGACTGTTTGTCTGCCTTAGGAAGACAAGAATATCTAAGCACAAACTTCCAGTTATTTGGTATTAACTAATCTACCTGAGCACCATGTCTAATACAAATGCTGAGAGATGCCATTGATGGAATCTCGATGAATGTCTAGTACCACCACTGAGTTCTATCAGGGCATCTCCTTTAACATGCTGGTTTGACCCTCTGGTAAGGCCCGCTGAGATAGTATAAGCACAAACCTAGAATAGTTGGTGGCACATTTAAGAGCCCAACAAATGCTAATTCCCTCACAAGAGCCAGCCTCCAGTGAGAAATGCATTGTCTTAGCTTGCCTACCACAGCCCTTGGAGGTACTCACATTTATTGAAGTTAAAAACAATGAGCAGATAGAACTGTCATTTCTCATTATTCTAAAACAAAATACCACCAAAAATAAAGACTAAAGTAATACACATGCACCACCTTTCCTGCCGAGCAGCCTGGGGGAAAAGCCTCATGATCTCTGTGTTGAGTGGCTCCACCTGCGAGGGGTTCTTCACCTTCATCTCCAGAAGGTAATCTTTGCCAAATCTGCTTTTCAGATGTTGGGTAGAACCAATACACCTGGAGAGAGATAGGAGGAGGCCAAAGTCAAGCAAGGCAAGAAAGCTATCTCTGACTAGTATAATTCAGCATCTGGGTGCTAGGGACGGGGGCAGGCAGAGGGTGCACAGATTCTCCAGCTTCTCACAGTGGGCGGTGTTCTTCTATCACACAAGGCAATCTGCAAGTCAAGGGCAGGCCTGGAAGGTACTCACCTCAGCCTTCCAGACACCATGATGGCCACGCGGTCACACACAGCCTCCGCCTCTGCCATGTAATGAGTGGTCAGGAGGGCACCCCTCTCTGTGTTGGTAAAGATGGCCCGGATCGCCTGCCTAGAGTTAGGTCAAAGAGAATTTGTGGGATCCATCAAGATTCCATAAGTGGGGTCTCTCAGCATTTGTATTAGTCACGGTGCTTGAGGCCCAGGTAGATTACTTAGTACCAAATAGGTCAAGGTATCATCAAAACCATTTAAAGATATTTCCATTAGCATACGTATGGAACAAGAAGTGCATCCAGGAGAAACAGAAACCAAGACATTTCTGTGGGACAAATAAATAACCAAACTTTCGGTTGCAGCATGTAATTTAGAAATGGCTTGAGGCTGGACATGGAGGTTGATGCTGGGAGAAAGGTTGCTCTCTCACAAGTGCTGAGCATCAGAATTAAGGAGGAGACAGGAGAGAGAAAGTGAGGACTTACTAGAACATGTGATAATGATAACACATACTGCAAAGGCAAACCATGACTGATTTTAGAAATTTCATAAGATAATTAACATACTAAGGACTTGGGGTTTTTACTTTAGTCTCCATGACTATGTTATTGCTATTGCAGAAGGATCTGGGATTTAATAATTGTTTGAGTGGGCTGACTGTGTGCCCTATGCATACTCAGAAGGTCTAAGAGGAGAACAAAATTCTTACAATGGGTGTTAGAGGAAAGGCATATGTCTTTTGTTTTGTATTACAGGTGTTGATCCAAATATGAAATTACATACGTTTTTTCTGTTAATTTTGCTTTTCCGGGTAATGGATGAATGTCTATGTTTTTAAGTAAACTACATTGAAAATTGGTTTTTACAAGATCCACAAATCTTCAGAGTGAGATGCAAGCATCCTCCCTTGGGCCCTCCTTTGCTTCCTTGGGTCCGTAGATTGTAGCATGTTTATCCTGTACTTTATGGCTAATCTCCACTTATAAGTGAGGACATACCATGCGTGTCTTTCTGGGTCTGGGTTACCTCACTTACAAGATCCATAAATCCACACAAGTGTTGCTCCTGAGAGCTCACCATATTTGTTGCTGCCCTTCAGGGTCCATCCCGGTTGACGGTTCATCCAGAAGCACCACAGATGGGTTCCCCAGGACGCTCAGCACAAAACAAAGCTGAAACAAGAGGGACAACCTGTCTGTCATCAGCCTGTGAGATGCAGAATGGGGTGCCGGACCCTGTACGTACCTTTCTCTTCACACCTTCTGATAGGGTCTTCACAAGAGCCTTCAACTGGTCCTCCAGTTTGAGTGCTTTCACCAACCTGAGAAAAACAACGAGTCAATCTTTATCCAGTGTGAGCAGGAGGGAACGAGGCAAGCAAATTGGAACAATACCATAGCAGTGACAGTTTTAAAAGCCATCAGAGTGGTCACACCTTTGATACCCCCTAGGTTACTGCTGCTGTTTAGACAGTTTATTCACCAAGGATTCATGCGCTTATCCTGAGGTGGTAAGGAGACAGTGTGAGCTCTTAAAAGATGTAGACATTAGGAGAAAGTTTTTAGAGCAGCTGTTCTCAACCTGTGGGTCATGACCCTTATGGAGGTTGAATATAGGATATTTACATTATGATTCATAACAGTAGGAAAATTACAGTATGAAGTAGCAACAAAGTAAATTTATGGTTGGGGGTCACTACAACCTGATGAACTATATTAAGGGTTGCAGCACGGGGAAGGTTGAGAACCACTGCCCTAGGACAGCAACGCTGTGTTTCCAGAAAGGATTATATCTCTCTAGTTTTCTGTCAGGTCCCATCATCTCTCCCCCTCGTCACAATCCTACAGTGACATCATTGCTCTTTGGTCATCATCAGACGCTAGACCAAAGGCTGACATCTTGAGCTTTCACCTCCAAGACTGAGTTAAATAAATAAATCTGTTTTCTCCAAATGTACCTGGACTAGTGAATTTCATTAGACTGACACAACGCTGGATAATACTGACATTTCAGAGCCCCTTGTGACCATCATGCCCTAATGCCCAGCATTCTTCCCAGGTTTCCCCACCATGGTGGACTCATCCTCCTGGCAGATAAAGCCAGTAAATATTACAACAAAATAGCAAGAAAGAAAAGTCCATAAACTTTTCTCTCTAGGCTTAAAGTAAAAGAAAACGGTAGTGAACTGGGTTCCAGGTAGATGATTCTCCCACAAACAAGGGTTCACTTGTCCTTAGATATGCGTGAACACCATTTATAAGTTACCACGCTCCTGAGCAGGAAATGAGTGTAGTCCCTCCACGTACCGTGTGATGGTGACCAACGCGTCCTTTTTCTTCAGCCCCTTCACAGCAGCGTACACCTCCAGGTGTTCCTTCACCGTCAGGATGGGCCACAGCACGTTTTCCTGAGGGCAGTACCCCAGGAAGCCGAGGGAGTCCCCTTCACCACTCCCTTTCACAAGTACCTACACACACACACAAAAAAAAAATTATATATATATATATTAATTTTGTTCAAAGTTGCATGTGCATGTAAGTGGTGCTTAATAATGTTCTCCTCATGTGTGTGGGTGCTAAGAGCGTAACAGTAAAAACACAATTATAGAACAAGACCGTGTCATGATGACAACAGCAGTTGATGTGCCAAACCAGCTAGGGGAAATCCCACCTGGTTCCAGACTCCAGATAAAGAGCTACAGCTTGTCCATGGCTGCTGAGAGAGGAAGGATCTATTTCCTCCAGAGATGACCCACTGCATAGATTGTCTGAACCTAAGCGGTCTGGACACACGTTCATATGAACAATGCTAAACAGGCTCAGCAATGATAATTAAAGAAGAGAGCGTGAGTTTGGGAGGTAGGGGGAGAACACTGGAGAAGTTGAGGAGGTAGAGGAAGGGGCAGAAATGATGTACACGCGGTGCCCGTGTATGAAGTTCATGCAGAAACTGTTAAATGTTTAAAGATTTAGGTAACTATTTAGCTCTGGCAAAATGATCACTCTCTCAACGACTGAAAAAGCAAATATTCCACATTATTATATTTTAACAGTATAGTTTAGAGTTTACAGCTAAGTCCACCACCACAGTTCACGTGAAGATTTCTTAGTTTGGTGGGCTAGTTAGTCCTGGAATTTTCTCATTGATCCGAACACCCAGAGCAATGGGTACTAGTTAAGCATTCTGTTTCCCCAATAGGTCAGTGGCTTTCAGTAAAGAGCAATCCTCCTCTCAGGATACATCTCACAGTATCTGGAGACGCACATAATTGCTTGTCAAAACTGTGCTCCTATCTGTGGTGTAAGGGGTACTACTGGCATCTAGTGGGTAAAAGCCATAGAGGCTGTTAAATAGCCTGTTATACACAGCATTTATTCAACCCACAATGCCGTTACTTCTGAGGCTGAGCAACCCTGAGGTGATTTATAAAGTAAAAGTCCCTTAGCTATATGTCTACCTCATGGAAACCAATAAAACGATAATATTTTTTACTTTGATGGGATCGGCCCTGTGCTGTATATAACAGCTAATGTGTACTCAGTGATGCTATGTTCTGGAATCTGGAACCTAAGCATTTGATCTTATTTGTTTATCCATAAAAAAATTCCTACAGTTAGTTGTGTCCCTATTAGATACATGAACCTAATTCATTCGTGGGTTAAAAATTTTGCAAATATCACAGAAGGTTCATTTGGGACCTGAAACTGGTCCCATGCTGGATGAGGCAACTCAGTTTACCAAGTTCTTGGGAAAACAACAAAGCAATGGTCTCTTCCTTGAACGTATGCATGAGTGTGTGTGTGTGTGTGTGTGTGTGTGTGTGTGTGTGTTTGTATCTTGTACATAATCTTTTCATTAGTATCTCTATTCTCTATTCACTCAAGGACACTAGGATCAACTTTTAGAACCTAAACCTTTGACTTTGATCCTCTGTTATTATCTCTCTCTGGTACAAAAGAGAAGGGGAGGAGTTAACTCTGTCTTGCAGAACTTTCATTCTAGAGAGAAAATGGAAAACAATAAGCTGAGACATAAGTGGACTGA